CCTGATCTCTTAATCTCATTACAAGGCAGATACGGACAGACAAACGCACGCACACATGCACGCGCATGCGTGATCGCAGCTTTCAGTAGTATCACTTTATTATGCGCGCACACATGTTCTCATTTACGACTCTATACCAACACAATAAAGTTCTGAGTTATGTTTTTTCTTCCATATGGACACACACACACACCCAAGTGCGTAGAGGCACACACACCCACCTTCCACCCGCCCAGTGTGTGTGTGCCTTCTCACTGGAGCTAATCTTTATTCCTCCAATCGGGCTGTGTAAGGACAGGTAAGAGTAATGACTGTCTCCCTCCCCGCGCGACCAGTGTGACAACACAGAAACACACGCTGAGTACGGAGCAGTTCTTAACCTGAAGCCCATAAACACAGCAAAAGAACACTAACTAACTCTCAGACTAAAACGCTTCTCTTCCTGCCTTTCAGTGGTGAGTAATTCTCTCTTCCCTTCAGTGAATCATTTATTCCTGGTGTGTGTGTGTGTGTGTGTGTGTATGTGAGGGAGAGAGAGAGAAAGTGCAGTCGTGAGGAAATCTTGCATCATCCAGGAGCCGCGGCGAAGTTGAAGTCAGCTTCTCATTCGAATTTTCCGCTCCACCTTAAATGGGGCAGCAGTTCCATGTAATGTGTACCATTTAAGTCGGTACCGAAACTTCGGAGCCGGTTTTTTCTGGGTTTTAGCTTCACTTAGGCTACTTGGCTGAAATTGATATTTTCTAGTTAGAAACTGCTCGGTTAACTTACATCCTCAATGTGAAGAAAGGAAAAGAACTTTTTTTAAAAATGATAGACATGAAAGATAAGGCTGGCCGTTTGACATCGCAATACTAACACAAAGGTTTGTCAAAAGTAGCCTGGAAATTAGCAGCTACTTATACTTTTTAGCGCAGTAGCCTAGCATGGCCCTGCTCTTTCAGAGTAATATGTTATATTATTTTAAAATATCAGTCAGACCTAGTCTAACGGCAGGATTTTTAAAAAAATAAAAGATATGCCGATATTCATATGAGTCTGATATCATCGTGCATCTCTATTTCAAATGAGTTAATCAAGTTAAAATATATTTTAGAATATTATGCTATATTATGTTTCTAAAATAGTGCACAAAATCTATGTTAAAAAGAAATGAAAGAATTTGATAAGTCATATATAGTATGAAAATGTTTTTTCTCTCAGATTGGTGAGGAGTTGGGGTCTAGGTAGCGTTTTGGTGGGCCAAATGAAATGTCTGGGCAACTTTAGCTGGCTGTTTTGCTGTGTGTTTGAGCGCAAATCTGAGGAAATGTTTGAAATCAGCCAAATGGTTTGATTGATTTCAAACATTTCCTCAGATTTGTGCTCAAACAAGCTCAGGAAATAAATTAAAATGGTCAGATATGGACTTTAACAGCTTAACAAAAAGCATGTTTCTTGTGTCCTCTGCAACAATGCTGTGACATGTAAAAATATTTGTTTAATGTTTTTTGTAGATACTTTGCAGACTGTTTTGACTTCATTGGTTGAAGCTTTTGACCTGGATTTCATTGTATGTGATCACAGGGAAAGATGACTAAGGCTTGGAAGCAGTGTTTCATCTCTTTGTTTACATTCATAGTCATTATTTTTGCATATGAGAAACAAATGTGCCTTAACTAGTTGCAGTTTCCAGGGACGTCATTGGTTTTTCTGTTCCTGTTTTTTAGTCTCATAACTCTGGCTAGTTCTCACAGTAATAAAGTCTCCTTCTCTGACATGAAACTATATATGGAGTGAAATTTGACTCTGAACAAAGCTTTGAACTAGACCGTTTTTGTCTGCTGAAAGGTCAGAAACTAGGACCCAGAAGAAGAAAGAAAGCTGCCTTGCTTCTCTACCTCAGTTGTGCCAAAAGCAGATTAGCCCTTTCTGTGCTTCTATAAGCGTTTCCTGACCTACAAGCTTACTCTGGTGTCTGTACATTCATCATTAGTGCTCATGCAGTGAAAAGAGTCATTACAGGCCAAAAACTAGTTAGACAAGGACCAGATCCCACTTCCCCTTCGTAACGTGGGAGGTAGATTGGTATAAAAGTCCATGTTGTTGTCCAGTGAAATAGATGCTACTGTATTGTGGATATCCTAATGAATCAGCCTCAATGACTGTCAAGCATCTTTAGCTTGATATGGAATAAAGACATGAGCTTGATTTGACTCAAAAGAGGATGGCTGTAGTGCTAGAAGTAGATATCCAGATGGAGCAGGAAAAGTATCAATGGAATGGCCAAGTCAACATCACATAGCTGAAAGAATTCTGCATGGAGGAGTGGGAAAAACTTTGTCCCAGTCGATGTCAGAGACTGGTGGGTGGTTACAGGAAACGTCTAATTGAGGTTATTTCAGCCAAAGGGTAAAATACCAGCTATTAGGGCATTGGGTGTCCTAACTTTTTCATTAGTATACTATATGAACTGGCATGTTTTTTCATTGGTTTGTTTAATAAATGATAACAAAGTCAAATTTAAATTGTTTTTGCAATAGATATTGTTTTGCTATAGATATTGTTGAAAGAAGATCAAATATTGATATGTCCATATTTCTTAATAAAGAACTAAATATTTAATGGGGTGTCCTAATTTTTTCACATGACTGTACTTTAGTGGCTGTTGCTATACTTTGGGAAGGGGGGGTCTCTGAGGTGTTGCCTATGTGTGGAAAACACTGGAGTCCCTGGCTTATTACGTACTAAGGCTTATTATTAAGTAACTACAGTGCTTCATTGTTAACTGGCTGAGCTATTCCTAGGTTATAGAAGTGTAATAAAACTTTGGGCCCGCTCGTGGGCCCCAGCCATTTAAAGGGTTAAACAGCAAAGAATACTGTGTGAGTTATGTCATATCATGTAGGTAGAAACACCAGAATATCAAACTGATATTTGATGAAGTATTAGTACTCCATGAGAGCAGGAAGTTTACACAATGCTGGACTGCAAAGTCTGCATTTTATTCATTTTACTGCATTTGATACATACATAAATACTATGTAAATGCATGTTATATTTATCTGTATTGCTAATCCAGGTAGAAATAGTTCCAGTTTCTACATTTTATAAATGCTTATGGATTGGCATCGGTGTTGGCAATGGCACATTTGTAGATGAAAAATGTGGGATATCTGCACTGGCCACAGTTCCTATATCGGTTAATCCCTAATTATTGCTTGAAAATTGTGATATGAATTTGAGTTTGTATCACTCACCCCTATGATAATGCCAAAAAAGGAAACTGTCTCCGATTCCTTTATTCATTTCACCTCAGTGTGTGGTCTGCTGATGGATTATGTGTACTGGCCAATGTGAATAAGCTTCAGGTCTTCCATAGTTTTTTCTGCCACATGCTTTCATATTATGGAGGTGGAGCATATGGGCACCAGCATGTGCCTAAAGTTGACCAGTAGTTCGTTTTTGCGACATCTGACCTGCAGTTAATTAGGTTTAGTTTTTTGTTTACTCAGATTGTGTCATTTTTTGTTTAGGCAGCTTACAGATTTTTCTTGATTAGAAGTAGAAATTAGACTTAAGTATCTTCCTTCTGTAAATGGACCTTATACTGCAATGAAAATGTTTACTGGCCATATGCCTGGCTAACTTACAGTTAAGTTCATGCACAGAAACAAAGAAGACTTATCCACCTTTAGCCACTCATGCGTACCTACCGTACACAAACCCACATCTGTTCTTTATCAAGGCAAAAATTTCCACTGACTGCATAGCACTGAATGTTTTACTGCTTTATCAATGGAATAGGATATGACGTACACTCCTAACACCGTACATCCTGCATGTCAGTGAGTCCTGTAAATGATGTTCATAAAACCTATTAAAGTGTGTACATAATTGTGTATTTTGCATGTTTAATTGCTTGTTAAGTCTCTACTTATTCTGTTTTACCACTGATTCAGTGTCTCCCTCTGTTTCTTTCTTTCTCTCTCTCTCTCTCTCTCTCTCTCTCTCTCTCTCTCTCCCTCTCTCTCTCAACTGAGTGAGGTTATTAAATGTTTTTGTGAATGAGCTCTGAGCGTGTGCTCTAATCTGTGTGGCTGGTGTGTATACATGCGTATGTGTGTGGGAGAACTGTTCTGCCTTTAGTTTACATTCATACATGTCAGCACCAATTTTTTTCTTTCATTACATCTGGCCATTGTTTACTTTAGCCATTGTTGCTTCATCTTCCAACGACTTGTTTGTCGTTTATGATCTACAATACTACTCTTTTTAATTTTCAAAACTCCCATTGAGTTATTCATTTTCCAGGAAAATCTGAAGAGATTAGATAAAAGATAATCCACTTGCATAAGGAGGAGGAAGGTCAAAAGAGACAAACAGAAAAGACTGGAGTTTCCAAAATTGGAGGTCCAAAAATAATTAAAAGCTACAGAGAAAATGAGACGCCTAACATCCATGCAAGACCTGGTAGACCACCAAAACTGTCACCATCAGCTAAACACTACATAAAGCTTTCATCTTTGAGAGAGAGGAGAAAGTAGTTCTTGTGGATAAAGTTTCTGTCCATCCTTCCACTGACGAGTCTAAATATATAATTGGGATTAATTGGATCGGGGAATACAGAAAACGCCACCAACTTCTGAGACTGAACTTTGATGGTGTGGAAAAGTATCCCTACAGATTACTTTGGAAAACTGAAAGCAAGTCTTCCAAAAAGAGTGGAAAAAGTAACGTAATAAAGGCAAAGAGTAGACACACTAAATGTTGAATAATGTCTTGATATATTTAGTTGTTGAGGGTTCTATGTAGTTGTCTGTTAAATATATGTTTCTGCTTTTTTTCTGACACGTGAAAATGAATAACTTGTACTTAATGGCTATTTTGACTGGAAATTACATAAATGAATGGTGGTCTCTGACTTTTGCACAGTGCTGTACGTTTGTCTAGTCAACATTTAAATCTCTGCAAAATGCGTAAAGCACACTGTTAAACTCAAATCCTATTTTGTGTTGCAGGTTCACTTCTGAAAGTCAGTCCATAGAGGAGCATATTTACAGAAAACTTGTTTACAATCAACACTTCCTAATCATCGCTGATCACACCTGAGGGCAATATGGAACTTCAGAAAATGGCTAATGGTCACCATGAACTCAGCCCTGGGAAAAGTACCCGGGAGGATGGGTATGTTTTATCTCTCAAGTTTTGTTCAAAAGACAAGAATAAATATGAAAACCTCGTTTGTGTTATTTTTTGATCTCCAAATAGTGTCACAGATACAACTTTAGTAGTTTACTGGTTGATGTGCTTGAACACTGCATGAGTCTACAGTAACACTGAGTATTTTTCAAGCTCTTTCCACTAAAAGGTCAAGTGTTTCCACTGTTTGGCATTTCCTTTGTTGCTGATAAGACAGTCTTACCTGAGAGACTGAGTATGTTGCACTGTAAGACAAGTCATTTGTGCAGTTAAGATGCATACTTATATCATAAGATACGATTTACAGCATAATTTAATGCACTGTGTGCTTTAGATAAATATTAACAACAAATATTTAACATTGAACAGTGGAAAATGTAGAAGGTGATTAGGCTACTGAATATCTCTGCATTAGTTTCTTCTGTAAGGCCCAGTAAAATTATATGCTTCACTCATTATGCAGGTTCCATAACTTAAATTATTCAACAAAAGTGCTACTACAGAGTGGGAAAAAGTAAATTTAGAGCTGTTGAATAGCAACAACCCAGTTTAACCTCAATTTTTCATTTTAACTCCATGCTGGTGAATATACATATCAGGAAACCGCACTCTTAGTTAGGGATACACCTACATTACGGCTGCTGAAAAGACAAAGAGGAAAAGCTCCAAAAAGATTAAATAGGTCTACACTGAAATGTCAAATTCTAATGCTTAATTTAAAAGGTAAAGACAATGAAAAATAGTGATTACCAGTGCTGTTTGTTTTCTTCACTCGCCTTCACTGGTCAGCACAGATGCATTCAAACAATTTGAGAAACAGCAGATAAAAAATGAATCATAAACATGGTCCACTGCAGCTGCAATCGATAAATTGTAATGTAAATAATTGCGATTACCTATTTAATTGTCTTTTCTCATTCATCAAATGCAGCTATTCAAGCACAAGCCTTGAGTGGCCAAATTGCCTGATTAGCTTTCTTGCGTCCTTGTTATGTGTTTCTTGAGAGTAAAAATACAGGCAAAAACACTCAGAGAGTGAAAATAGAAGCCAAAAAACATTAGAATTAGAACTTAGCTAACAAATAAGCATTACTCATAATGCCCTCTAAAAACATTAGTTAGCCAAGTTAGCAGTTAGAGCTTTTTTGTTGGCTTAAGTGATGTGACGCATTCTAATAAATGCTTTCACTGCTTTCTTTTATTTACATTTATTGCCTCAACTCCAGAACACCAACTTATTTTGCTGGTTGCAGAATGATACAACTGTGAAATCAGGAGTGTGTAAAAGATTAGTCAACTTAAATAATTGCGATCATCCCAAAAATTATTGTCATCTTAAATAGTTGTGATTCAGTGATTATTTGATAATTGTGACAGTCCAAATTCTTTAGTAGAGATCACATCAATAACACTTAGTAACTCAGTAACTTTTTACTTCTGGTTTTGAAAGTTTTTACTGCAAACACTTGTGTTCATTAGATCCTGCTGAGGTTCATAGCTGTTTCTTCTCTAAGTAACAAACACTACAGCGGCTTCCATGCTAGCACCCCCTACTGGACAAACTTCAGACTGTTAATCGGGAGTTTCAAATCCACGTCCACACACTTTACATATTAAAAACTAGGTGTTTTTTGTTGTTATAGAAGAAGTTGCTCTGAAGTTTGGCTTTAGATGCCCAAACCATGCAGTATTACATTTACATAATATTACAGCTTTTGATATTTAGTGTTATTTAGCAAGCTGTTTAAAATTAATTCAGTTTTCAGCCAAGTGTGTCCTGAATTTCAAATTCATTTTCAGCAAAGTTTTTCATTGCTGCTCTTAGTAAAGCCGCTTAAATCGATAATTACATCATATTGCGTCAGAAAGAAAAAGTTCATGTTAGGGCCACAGTAAACATTCAGTAATATTGAATAAATTTGATAATTGTAATAATCCAAAACAATAAAACAATCAATAATTTTATGAAACCCCATCAAGAATCATATTGTACCACCTCACTAAAGAAGAACATCACAGGAGCTGAAAACTGAGAAAGACAAAACTTATTATGAATATGGACGTCTACCGAACAGCTGATTCAGCACTACAGTTCTCATGAGAGCCTACAAGCAAATGCGGTTGCCGATATTGTGAAACACATTGTTGCTGCAAAACATTGTTACTCCACTTTTACACAATTAGACAATGATAGCTGCCCTTTACATTGTGTAATCATTTCATACTGAAAAACAGAAATGCTCAAGAAATGCTTGGAATAGAATCTTATCTTTAGATAATTAAAATTTGACATCAGATAATTAAAATTAAGAATGTCATGCATGATGTAAAACTTCCATTTTATAAATACAAGGTTTTGTTACACAGTGATGATATGAGATAATATTTAGATAATATATAATAATAGTATTAATAGTTTCATATCAGTAGAGTTTACTGGGTGTAAAAGATTATTCAATGCCCAAATTTTGTAAGCATTTGTCCAGACTATATGTCAGTAAAAATCTCTACTAAATCTTTATTATGTTGTTACTGTGCTTTTTGAGCGTAACATTAAGATTAAATAGTAGAATTTCCCACCCAACTGAAAGAATGACGTAATGCTGGTAGCAGTTATCAATTTAATAGTTAGTAATTTAATAGTCATTAACAGACATTTCAGTCTCATATGAAGAGGCTTTGGAATTTAGCTCCAGCTCTATATCAGGTGTACGTATACCATGTAATGCTGCTAGGAAACACTGACTGTCACTGTGCTTCTCTTTTCTGGCACTGGACACTAAGGCTGAACGATCTGGGGGAGAATATCTAATTGTGATTTTTCTGATCAGTACAATTGCAATTGAAATGCAGTTTTTTTCTGTGTATTAAGCTCCAGGCTTGAAAAGTGAGGGGCGGATTTACTTAAGTTAGTAACGTGTTGTAAACCTTGTTTTGGCATTAAAAGTGGCTGTCTTGAGGTACTACAAATGGTCAGTGGCTCTTTAGTGCCTGTAATAAGTTGAGGGGGATAGGTGTATCTCTTTTGCGCTTTTGCCTCATTGCATAAGCATTTATAGGAGTTTCCCTCTCCAAGTGTGAAATAATGGCAGGAGAGTTTTATAATAAAGGCTGATAGTAAATTCTGTTATTTTTATCTCTTATTTGCTAATTCTCTAGGTATATTTTACACTCATCGAAGTGGCTTTAGAGCAGGATTTAGTTTAAATAATAACTTGACAGCTTTTTTCGATGATTATGAAACTCTCTGCACTCTGCAATGCCTCCTTTACTAAAGTTACTCATTACTTGTTTGCATCATGGCTTGTGTTTCAGAAATATCACAGACATTGTTTGATGCACTGCACAAACCTGAAAGGACACTCACTACAAGTTCAAATCGTACAGTTCCCAATCAAGCAGGATTGAACAGAATTTTTTTTCAATATCACACAAATTCCAAATGCACTCAGCACAGAACTGAAGTTTTCTAACAGGAAGTCAAAATAATTACTTATTGTCTCAATGTTTATTTATTTTAAACACTTTCTCAAAGAGTAACAACTTGTTCCTCAGTTGTTAGCCATTATTTCAACCTAATGAGTTACAATTTGAACCAGAATCAGAGAAGAAACAAAAAATTCTCCTAAAAGTCAGAAACAGGCTTCCATACAAGAAGCACATGAGTCAGACATGGTTATATTACGCTGCTCCTTTGTTAAATATGAAGCTGTCACAAAGTGTCGGTAATTAGTTTATTTAGTAATTAAGTAATTAGGTAATTAGTAATTCTTCAGTAGATCTCACCTCACCCTGAATGTGATGCGTCAAACTGGCATATATTATATTAAATATTTTATTTCATTTTTAATATTTCTATTTATGCTACATAGATTTGATGCTCTGGAGAACATGGCTGAGAGAGACCAGTTCCTCCCCCAGAAGACTGATGGAACCAGAGAAACCAGTTTTACAGATGTATGTAAGGCATCAGCAGATTACACAGAGTCATACACCTTGAATTCAGCATAAATACATGCACAGTATAATATTTATATATGTATATATATGTGTGTGTGTGTGTGTGTGTGTGTGTGTGTGTGTGTGTGTGTGTGTGTGTTTATCCATACATAGTTACAATATTCCATTTGTAACCAAAAGAAACTGTTGTGGTGTAAATACTTTGATATGCTATACTATCGTGTTGTTATGAACACTAACTATAATGTTGTAAATCTTTTTCACAGTTTGAGGGAAAGACCTCATTCGGAATGTCCGTCTTCAATCTCAGTAACGCCATCATGGGCAGTGGCATTCTGGGACTGGCCTATGCCATGTCCAACACTGGCATCGTCCTCTTTCTGTAAGTCACACTATCATGGATCCTTATAATGTGTTTGTGTGTGTGTGTGTCTGTGTGTGTGTGCTGGCCTCAGCTTTTAAATTTTACTAAATTGTTATCGCCATCATTACAGCATGTCATAAACACAAATGTATGGTCTATGCAAATCTATCTGACTGTGCTGTCTGTGGCAGCGGCTTTTCTGTTGTAAGCTTCACCCAAAGCCAACGTCAGAAGGGCGCTTCTATTCCCAGTAGGGTAAAAGAATGGCAATGTTTGGAACTGAGCTGCTTTTATTTTTAGCTCATTGTGAAGGGTGTACTTGCAGAAGCCGCCAGATTTCAGTCTCGTTTAATTAAAGGCTGGACACAGCTGTGTATATGTGTGTTTGTGTGCTTGTATGTTTGAGTGGGAGAGAGAGTTTGCGTGTGTTTGTGTGTTCTTGGCATGAAAGCACCCAGGCTTGATTCTCTATTTATATGCCACCTTAAAGTTAAGTAGGCAGGGCTCTGTGTGTGTGACGTGTGTTTCCAGAAACTCCTATTACGTAAAGTCAAATATTTACAGCATATATTTTGGAGAGGAATTTTACTCAGAAGGAAACAAACACAAGACTGTTTCTTTCTGTAGTGTCAACTCCTCAGCGTTTGCGAGTGTTGAGCCCTATATTTTCCTTAATTAGTACTGTGGGGGTCACACATGAATAGATTAGGGACCACAGGTAGATCCAAAATGTACTTTTCAATGTACATATGATTCATCACCCGGAAATACAGCTTTTATTTGTAGTCGAAGATGGTGCTGTGTTTGCATTGCTGTGTGCACAGGAGTAACCCTCTTGATGCATATCTTGGCTTGCAAAAAAACAATCATATGCAAACGTTTGAACGCCCCTGGTTTCGTTACAGTAAGTGTTTTGTTGGTTTTCCAGGTAAAAATAAAATAACACATCCTCTACAGGTGACATTCTTCTGCTTTTAGTTCAGGTGGCATTCTTCTGCTTTTTAGTGGCTAATAATCAGCAATTGTGCAAAAAGATATAAAATAAAATCTGCAGAAGTGTGTTCTCTGTAGACTATGTGTTAATATAGAAAATCAACAAAAACATCAAAAACCACGGGTGCCCAAACTTTTGCCTACAACTGTAAGGGTTTTACACAGCACACAGTATGCCAAGCCTTATTGCATTCATATTGTGGGAATAAATAAAGAAGAAAAGGTTCATTTATTAGTGAAATGATGTGTTGTAGATGCTGCTATTTGCCAGCGGGGGGCAGTGTTATGGCATATATAAAGGTTGACGTTAAGCCCGAGCAAAGACTGGGAAAGGATTAGTTCATGGCTAATGTTAGCTAATGAGATTACTGGCTAGGCTTACGCTTCGCACTGTAGTTACTCTTAGTTTTACTCTTAGTTCCTGAAAAGATTTTATTACAGAGAAACTGCAGTAATGCATGTAGGGCAAATACAGATTCCATCTCAGGTCATTCCAAACTACTGTGGATTAGAGGTTTTACACATTAAAGTCCATTTACAAAAGTCAGTTTACTGACAAGCAGTTTAAGTTAAAATTGCACGGGTTCATTTTAGTCTTGTTTTTATAGGTCAAGGTATAGGAAAATGTATCACTACAGGTAAACTATCCCTAAATGAGGAGAGAAGATAATTACTTTAACTCTCAAAACAAATCACACAACCCTGTTTTTAATCAAACTTTGAATACAGACTGACTTCATGAACAGGTCTTATGGCTGGTGCACTCTGGGAAATGGAGTCTTTAAAACAGATTTTCAGCTTAAAAACTGTTGTTTGTTTCTGTTGTAGAATGCTATTGACCTTCATTGCAATTCTGACTGCATACTCCATTCACCTGCTGCTGAAGAGTGCAGGAGTGGTTGGTAAGAGTCACACTTTTAGTATCCATTCCTGAATTTGCTTTCTTTCAGTTGTACATACAATAGAGGAAAAATATAATGTTTTTTTGTAGTTAAACAGGTTATTACATCATTTTGCCATAGCATTGCCATTAGATCGTCTGTACTTGTAGAACACTGATCAGCACTGACCAGATGTCTGAAAAAATACATATAGTGACATATTGTGTTTCCTATCATTTTCTTGAAGTATCGCAATATTATATTTCTGCCATAAAAGTCTGCTATTGTTTACCTTGTCTGTGGGTTAAGTAATATTAGTGAGTTATGTAGTGACTCAGTCTTCTCTAACACTGCAGAAATGGACTCTGAAGACAAATACAACCTTATCTTCCTTTAACCTTTAAAGTTTGGTTTATATTTTTGTTTGTTTGTTTGTTTGTTCAGGAATTCGTGCATATGAACAGTTGGGTCTCCGAGCATTCGGGCAGGCAGGGAAGGTCGTAGCAGCCTGCATTATAACCATCCATAACATTGGAGGTGAGACTGACTTAATGTTACTGCTGTTGTCAGACACTGTCAGTAGCAAAACATTTTGAGCAGCCTTCCTGTGTGATGTATTCTTTTGCTTATTTAACCTTGTACTAATTCGTTTTTTCTTTTTCCTATAGCAATGTCGAGCTACCTCTTTATTGTGAAGATTGAGCTGCCCTTTGTTATAGAAGGTCTTCTGGGTCAAACAGAGAAAAGCTCAGGGTAGGAACCAGACGATTTCTCTCATTAGTTTGACACTTATCATGACCTGTGTGGTTAATTTCACCTATATCAGGGATGCCCATTCCTGGTCATAGATATCTACCACCCTGGAGAGTTCAGTTTTGAACCTCACTTTTTTATTACACATATGTTTAATGCAAGAAGCAAAAAGTCTTTTCAAAAAGACAATGAAGTAACCTACTTTTAAAGTTCTACTTTTACAAAATTGTTGCAAAAAAGTGCAACAATGAAATGTGTAATACTATATGAAATGTAAGTCGCAAATTAGATTAATTAATTAAAATTAATCTAAGCATGACACGATTTTTCAAGTTTTACTTTTATTGAGAGAGCAGCTGCAGCTTTGCTGGTAGAGTTGCTGGTAAACCTTTAAAAAATCACTAAAGAGCTTTACAAACTATGAAGAAATGACAAAAAAAGCTAAAATAAAAGAAATTAAAAAATGAATAAAATACAAAATACAGAGGGAAAAAGACACTAAAAGTTAGTAAAACACAAAGAGAGAAAAGAAAAAAGTATAGTATTATAGATAAAAAAATAATTTTTAGTTCCAACATAAAAAATAATTTAATTAAACTCTCAGTCATAAAAAAGTGCTGTACACTGTGTATTAGACCCCACATCTTTCTGTATTTCTCTGTGCCATTTAGGAAAACTAGTTGTCATGAACTGTGCCGTTAATGCTTGTGTGTTCTCCCTTTGTTTTGCTCATCCACCACCCTGTTGTGTCCTGTTAGAGAATGGTATCTAAATGGAAACTACCTCATCATTATCGTCAGTCTTGGTGTAATCCTACCCCTTGCTCTCATGCGTCAGCTTGGTATGTCCATCCTTCTTTCATCCTTCCTTTTCATTTTTTCCATTGTCTCATCATCACATTTCATGACAAGCCATTCACACGTAGAGACTTTCTGAAGCTTAGAATCGGCTTTCCTTATGGAAGGAGCAGATTTGTAATACAAAACTACTGATACTGTAATGAACTGTTCCTCATCTGCACAATAAAGATGTTTTTTATGAAAATTTGATCTAAGTGCTGTAATATTGTACCACAGGGTATCTCGGCTACACCAGCGGTTTCTCTCTCTCCTGCATGGTTTTCTTCCTCATTTCTGTGAGTCTTTTTATTCGTTTGTCACTCACTGACTTGTGCACTGTGAAAACTGCCATATTTAGCTGTTATGTACAATATATGTTACATCATGTGCACAGAATGTGTTGTACTTCCAGTATGTTATTTTTATTTGTTTGACTAATCAAAGGAAAATTAAATTAACGTTTCCCCATATGTGTATCATCATACATATCATATCAAAAACTTTGTGTTCCTTCATTTGAAAACGTCAGCTACCCTTTACATTGTGTGAACATTTCATGACTGTTTAACCAAAATAAAAGGTTTAAAATTTCTGTAAATTTTTTACATTTAATTAAGAACATTTTTTCCATTTCCTATAAATTTACCCTGTAAGAGATACAAGGTTCCAATTCAACAGTCTAGCAAACAAGAATGTCAACCGTCTGTGTTCTATAACTAGTCAAATGACGTTTGTTTAGACTGCCATTTGTAAACCTTTTAAATCAATTTTTTCTTGGATCAACAGGTCATCTATAAGAAGTTTGTCATGGAGTGTCCAGTGTTTAGCGGCAACTCTACCCACCTGCCCATGTCTCCGGTTTACAGCTCAGGCAATGACACCTGTACAGCTAAACTTGCTACCCTCACGCCGCAGGTAAGACACGGTGCTTCCTTTGCTCCTCTCAGCAATAATGTGCAGCAGTGCGTGGGAATTCATTATGGGGCCTTTCACAATATTTGCAAATTTGTTTGACTTTATTAAGCTTGTTTGCTCAATTCATCTCAATCATCCATTAAAATTTACCATCTTGAATCAATGATTATTTGGCAGCTTGCAAGATGATGAGGAATGTTGTAAATTCTCTTTATACTAAGAAATACAACCATTTAGTGTTTTTTAAAGGTATCCTATTAAAAGTATCTTTTTCCAATATTTGATTTTTTTAAAGGCAATGCATGATTTGCTATTGTTCATCTAAGCCAATTTTTATTGTTTGGTCCTTCATAAAAGCACTGAATCTGATTTTGACTGATTTGTCTTTGAGTAATCTTAAAAGTAACTGGTAGATTATTTGAGTGCTAATGTAATAAGTAGTCTTGGCAATAATGACAGTTCTGCAAATTTTTAATCAGTAAGGAATATATTACAAATAATGTCATGGTAGAGCTGTTTAACTATACAGTTAGAGTTGTGTGTAAAAGTTTGGTGGCTCCTGGTCACTTGAAAAATCAACAAAGCGTAATTTGACAGAGTATGTATACGACTGTACTATACAGTAACTGATTTTTTAGCAAAAGAAAGACACTAGTTATTGCAGTGATACACCAAGTCCTTGTGTTGGTGCATTATTTCTTTTGGCTGATATTATAAAACAAGGGAAGTATGTTTCATATTTATTATTAGAATAACAACTTTACTCTGAGTTTAGTCTTTATTCTGAGTACTGTGTTCTAAACAAACATAAGAAACAATAGATTTCTTACCAAATGGCAGTGTTATCTTGTGATGAATATAAACACAAGGTGCAATAATGCCTTGTTGTGTTACAGGCTGCGTATACCATTCCTATTCTGGCCTTTGCGTTTGTGTGTCACCCTGAGGTGCTGCCCATCTACACTGAGCTTAAGAAGTAGGTCTCTATTTTTTGGTCACATGTACACACATGTACATACTTATTTCAGTATGTTCACAGCACACAATGATAATGTTTAATATTGGTTAATGTCATTTTGTTTGTGTGACTTGTCGTTCCAGGCCAACAAAGAAACGCATGCAGAACGTTGCTAACATCTCCATAATGGCTATGTTCGTCATGTACCTGTTGACTGCAATCTTTGGCTACCTCACCTTCTACGGTAAGCATGTGCATAATGGAAAGAATACATGAATGGAGTGCATTCATGATTAAATTACGTGCATAAACAGACTGTGAGAAGAATCATAGAAGGCTCATCATGCATGTTTGTGTGTTGCAGGTAAGGTGGGAGAAGAGCTGCTGAAGAGTTACAGTACTACTGACACACTGATGCTGTGCGTGCGTTTTGCAGTGCTGGTCGCCGTCACCCTGACTGTTCCTGTCGTTCTCTTTCCTGTACGGTTCTCTCATGATACAGAACATTTTCTCGTTCATTGAAACTGTTCATCATTTCACGTGACAAAAATGTCTTTCAGTGTGAGAAAAGTATATGTAGTATATCTATTAAGTCTCAGTGTTTGGACTTTGAGATTGCTTTCTTTGTTTCTGTAGAGTCAGTTTATTGTCATAAGACTGCTATGAGATTGTTAAAGTGAGAGTTTGGCCGGTCAGGTACAGTCATGTGCAAAAGATTGGGGACACTGGTGAAATTACATGTTTTGTTGAATTTTTAAGTAAAAGCAAGTTAAAAACCTTTAAAAATCCTCTACAAAGGACACGCTTGTGCACATTTTAATGCAAAATTGCTGTTTGTTTGCTGAGTTTTATTGGAAAAAAAAACAAAGCGTTGTGCAAAAAGTAACTGAACATATTATATTTTCTGTTCAATATGTTTTCCAATATGTTAAACTCAGCAAATCAATAGAAATTGTGCCCTAAAAGTAGCTGAAACATGCCATATTAAATTTGTTCCCTTTAGAGTATGTGTTTACTTATTTTCACTTAGAATTTCACTTAATCAGGGGTGTCCAAACTTTTGCAAATGAGCTTTAATTTTTTTCCATTACCCTAAATGTAGTCCATCACCCAAGACATGTTTGTTGTCCAAAGTTTGGTTCTTTAGTTTTGCTCTGAAGCTACACGGCTAAAGTAGCTAACAAGTTCTGAAAGCTTGTAGCAATCGATTAGCATGGTGTAAATTGCATACCTTCAACACGCGATTGCTTCAAAACGTGTGAAGTTGTTAAGTAATTCTCAATCAGCTTTGCTTATGTAGTTTCTGATGCTGTATGTAAGAGAACTGTATATAAAAGTAGGCAAAATTAAAGACAAAATGCAGGTATCAAAGTGGCTGCTGTTGTAGCTATGCTGTGTCCATTTTAAAAGACAACAGTATTTTTCACAGTGTCAGAAACGACAAAAGCAAGTCTTTTAAGAAATCAGCATGATTTTACTTAAGCATATGATTCAGTTTGCACAAAGCTACACTGATGGCTAAAAGTTTCCGTTGCTTGTTAGCTTCAAAAGCTACAGTGCAAAACTACAGAAGCAAACCTCCAAATACCAAATATATCTTGGCTGGTCGACTACATTTGGAGTAAAGTGGAAATTGTGTACATTAGATACTTTAAGAGCATTGAATGTTGACAGCAGGATTTTCTCTCTCCATGTTCAGATCCGCCGTGCAGTCTTGCAGCTGCTGTTCCCTGAGAAACCCTTCCACTGGGCACGCCACATTCTCATTGCTTTTTGCCTGCTTTTCTTAGTCAATCTGCTTGTCATCTTCGTGCCCAACATCCGGGACATCTTTGGTGTCATTGGTGAGTTTCTCCTTGCATTTAAAATTGTGAATTTTTCATTCTCATTGTCATTTTACTGTAGTACTCATTGCCCTGTTGGGACATTCTGGTGCTCTGGGCTAACTTTTAGGTCCACTGCTACACCACTATCAACACAACAGCACATTAATCATGAAGCTGATTTCCGGGGGAAATACATAAGACTATTTAACACTGTACATGAGAATAAAACAGCTTAAGTTAATAGCCATATGAACACTTGTCCTCTCTGCTAGTATTGTTTACTGGTGTAGGTTAGGTTATGCTGAGATTAACATAGAATTTAGGTAGTGACTATTTGCAAGTCATAAAGGTAGCATATGATGCAGAAACCCCTCGCAAAACTACAAATAATCTAAACAGACAAATCTCCATAAATGGAGGATTGTTTTACAGTTGCTTGTACTCTTATTTCATTCTCAGTCATGCTTGCAGGGCCCTCTAGTGGCTGCAACCCCTGAAGCCCATTGGGTTAAAATGATGTTGGGTGCAAATGGCTTAAAAAAATGATGAGCAGTTCTAGGGAGATGAAGTAAAGCACAGAGATGGGTGTCATCTAAACATCTCTATTGTTTTACTTCCAGGGGCCACATCTGCTCCCAGTCTTATCTTCATACTTCCGGGAATATTCTACGTCCGCATTGTTCCTGAAGAACAGGAGCCAATGAAATCTCGCCCAAAAATTATGGTAGGTATACTTGTCGATGTCTATAAATGTCTAAATTATCTATAAAATGTTACACTAGCATTCAAAAGGTTGGAATCACTGTTTTCAACTATATGAAACCAATTTGGTTGCAGATATATAATCCCAGAATGATGAACTATGATTATAAAATGACAGAGAAAGCTGTGTAGTACTGAAAGTTATACAAAGCTGAATTCATCATGTGTCAAAGGTGGAGATCAAATCTCAGTCGGATAACTTACCTCATATTATTTGTTATTTTATTCACTTTTTTACAGAAAAAACTTTTTGGCAAATAGTTTGTAATATTTCAACGCACATTGTATAACATTTATTGTGTTTTATTGCAATTTTTATATGATAGTTTCTAATATAATTTTTTTTTGGCTGGTATATAAAAATCATTATCTACCTCATCTTCTATGGTAAACGTGTGCTTCATGTGTAATCTGGGGCAGATTATGAAAATGGAGTGCATTCACAATTAATTTACATGCATGAATAGACTGCATATAATAACATATATAACAGTGGCAGATGATTCCAAACCTTTAAAAATGATTCCTAACTGCAGTGTACTTACAACTGATTAAGCTTCCAAATTTAATTTGGTCAGCAGTCAAGTAAACAAAAGACACAGTAGCTCATGCAGTCCTTGTCTTCCTCTGGTTTTTTCCAGGCGATCATGTTTGCAGCTCTGGGCTTCATCTTCATGGTCATGAGCATTAGCTTCATCATTGTGGAATGGGTGACTGGAGAGTCTAGAGGAATCGGAGGACACTAACAAACTAAAGACATCAGAGCAACAGAAATGCACGTTCCCAGTAATGTGAAGCTTGATTCAAATGAGCTTTGCATATTTTTGATTTTAGGCAATACTGAACATACTGAACGTGAACGTTTAAAGACTATTCAAGGATCATGTCATCTTAGTTAAGAAACCCAACAGTGTACCTACACCATCTACAGTGGACTTGATGGTGGCTCACAGCTGGCAGCCATCTTTTATCTATTTGGCCTGAAACACATTTCAGAATGGTCATCATATCCTTCATGCAAAAAATCATTTCAATCTCCAGTTTTTCAAGGCAGATCTATTTCACTGCTATTTAATTTCAGTGAAGCAACATAGGATGATTTATATGAACCTTTAGAACCTTTAGAGCTTTAGAAAAGAACTGATCATAGCTACAGTATACACGCTGCTGACATGAGTTTCTTTATTGGTTTTAGAGAACTGTAACAACAAACAGCATTACATGTTTTCAGACCTTTACAAAACTTTACATGCAGTGTACAAAAGCTACAGTGTAGAGCAGTATGTGGTACAAATGCAGTTCATATTTATAGATATCCCTCATCTGCATTGCCAAAGTTGTGTATCAGTTACTATCCTTTGTGCTCTACCTCCCCGTGGAATGTTAATATTTGCCATTACATGAGTTACATTAGTTACATGAGGAAAAAAGTCATCTTTTTGTTACTTTACGAGCTCAGAATATTGTCACTGTCATGACAAAACCTTGCACCTCCGAAATGGTCACTTTACAGGATAAGGAAAGAAAAAGTTCTTTTAACATGATTTTATTCCAGGCCTGTATTATGTCTGTTGGCCAGTCCATCGTGGACTGTTTACACAATGTAAAGGGCAGCTGGCATTTTTGAACAGTTGTTAAAACTGTCTGGAAAAGCATTTATGAGGTGTTGATACGGCAGTGATAATATTTCCCAGTGTGTTGATACATGGATTGTAACTGTCAAATCTGGTCACTGTATTTATATGTTGTAAATTTGTATTACAGAACATTCTGGATAGATGTATTGTGCAGGTTTGCTTTACATTACAGCATGATCGTTTACAGCGAGATATGCAGCAGTATTTATTTGATACCTATTTATATGATTTTCAGAACATCTCGGTATAGTACAAGCCAAATCTGAAGAATGCATCTAGCAGAAAGGCTGCAAAACTACAGAACATCTAGTTTGAGTTACTACAGTGCGGCCTGAAGGATACAGACATTTGTTTTTACACAACATTAGCAGAGGAAACAGAAGTTACGCCAAGTTCTGTGAATACTTGTTCTTCTTTACTCAGCACCCTGGAAACCACTATTTTTGGTGTGAGATCCAGATTATTTTTGTTTTCAAGGTTCGCCCCAGCCTACGTCATATACTTTTTCTGGCTCCGTTATTCATGTTGAATTTTCCGTGTAAAATACTGGTGACAAATATACCTTTTTCTATACAGGGAATATTGGGTAACAATTTGAAGGCCTTTCCACAGTAATGAGCTGTGCATGTTCAGAGAGCCTGTCACTTACAACATATTCCGAGGTAAAACATTTCCAGACTTGTTACCTTCTAAGACTTACTGTTCATGCGAAGTGAGTTATTCTTATGGTATAGGAGTGAGGAACGAAAGTCTGGACCTACTGGATGGTCCTGGACATTAAAGAGGTTAATACTTGTGTTCAGCCACAGTTTGTTTAAGATGTTTTGTCAGCTGGTAAAATGCTGAAGATTTATTGAATTCTTGGTGTTGCTGAGGTCTTATGGACAGTATTGTACCCTTTGACCAAAGTGTTGCCGAATATTATGATTGTGTCCTCAAAAGATTACTTTCTATCAATTTTGTCTCACTGTTTAACATCATAGAACAAACTTTTGCTATATAAATCTTAATTTATGATGTACAAATAATCCAAAGCAATAGATTTGGGCCATTATTTGTAAATACTTTTCAGTCCTGTTTTTTACCCATGTTGGACCCTTATTTTATATTGTACATTTCTGTCACATCTAAAATTGTTGTAATGCTTACTGGAGCGTGATCAAGCTGCTTGATTGAAGCTTTTATTAACAAATGATTTAAGAAAGCCCACTTGATTGTTAAAAGTGCCTAAAATGTAGCCATATTTTGGCTATTCTATGTATATATTCACATTCATTTGGTAATAAAAAAAAATCACATGCAATTAGCTAATTTGCATTTTTGTTCAATAAAAGCGAGCGTGTATATTTATGGAGAAGGTTTACTGACTGGATCATTTCTTTTTGATTATCTGCTCAGTTGTAATTGTCTGCTCAGTTCCTGAAACTGAAAGAAATGAAACGACATACACTAAGCAAAGAATCTTGGTTTTTCGAGGCTTTATGTTGCAGTGCCCTCTGTGGGTCTCGCAGAAAGAAGTCAATATTTTTCCAGCATACACTTTCAATGATTCAAAACAACAGATCACTACTCAAAACATTTAGGAATGGAGCAATAAAATAGTCCTACGTGAGTTAGAAAATTCTCTCTGTTCTCTTCTTTATCAGCTCTTACTATAAATAACATTATGATAATAACATTATAATAACACAACTGTGTTAGTAGCATTTCAAGGTTTCTCTGCTTTGTGGAAATGTATGGCGGATGTTTTTGGCTGTAGTAGAAATAAATATTTCACACACATGGATAAAACTTTGACTGCTCCTTTACAGTAACTACAGAAACATTCAGAGAAAGAGGTCAACGTCTCAGGCACTCCAGTCAGCATTTTGAGCTTTCATAATGTGGTGCTCTTGTCTGTTGATCTAGAGCCTTTTTCAGTGCTTCAAATCCTGAAGGCCTATAGAGTTGTTATGAATGTTGGAGTCTAGATAGTGTTTTATTAACTTTTTATTAGTTCACATGAGAGAAATGTTTATTCTAAACAGTATTATAAAGTACCACAGGAGTCTGTAAAAGTGCTGGAGATTGGACAGTAGGCCAGTAGTCATTAGTAGTATTGTTGGACCTCAAAATAGGAACATTAGAGAAACTTTCTCAGTAGTGCTGAACAATATATCGTCTGTACAAGCATAACATGATATTGACACACCAGGATATTGCTGTTCAGTTTTAGATATTTATATCCATTAATAAAAATGTTTTATTATATCAACCTCATTTCTCCATTCATGTCGTTTTCTATTTTTGACAAAATTTAAAATCACCAGCTTCACTTTATACTGAGTAAAAATTTCATAATGAATGGACCAGTAGAAATGGTCCCAAGTTACTTGGAATAACTAGTTTCTCTATTAACTTCAATTAAAAGTTATTAGGTTTTTTCATCCCCTGTAAACATATTTTTTTGGAGATATGAGGTTTTGTTCTGACAGTGACAATTTATCTAACGGTTGTTACATACTTGAAGCACTGCCTGTGAAACAGCAACGTCCTTGTTCCCAACCCCGCTAGAAAAACCAGCAAAGACCAGCATGCCTGGCCACCAGCAAAACCAGCATATATTTTGTTTTTTGGATGATCCTGCTGGGTGACCAGCTAAACTAGCACCAGACCAACATAAACCAGCACCAGACCGGCAAAAACCAGTTTAGATGAGAATGGGATGCATGCTGGCCTGTGATTTTCTCCAGCAAGGAGATGGTTTGTTTTCATTTGTTAACTCTTTTGTGCACTTTACTGATGAAAGACTTCACAGCTAGTCGCAGTGCAGATGATTTGCTGGCTGCTTGAGAGAATGTTTTGTATAAAGTTTAAAATTGTGAAACTGAAATAAGTAGTAACTTTCCTTTCTGGTAATGTGGTTTGTGTTCCATGCAAGGTTCCCTTAAGTGTAATTTTAAGAGAAGAAAACAGAAGAAAACAGACCAAACGAAACAAGCCATGTCAGGTTTAAAAGGCATTATTTCAGCATAGCAGAACTCAGGAAACAGGAGTTCACTGACTTTATTAAACAATGTGAAATATTATCAGACACCATGATAGGGTGATATATTTGGAAACTTTTGTGTTGTTATAATGAATGTTATCAATATCACCCAGCCCTAATTCTAAAGTGACCTGCAGTGCCTCAGCAGCCTTGCGTGCTTAAGATACAGTAGACCAAACATTGTTATGAATGTTGAGACTCACCAATCCCATTTCTTGTTTTTACCCCTACCCCTTGTTTTCCAGTGTCACCTTGCCCTTTGAAACTGAGTTACAAGGGGTAGTGGTTAAAATCTTCCCCTACGAAATGGGACCCTCAAATAAAAAGAGCATTACTTCATTAACAGCTACTAGCGGTGCTCTGTACGCAACCCGGCCAGTCTGCAGTGAGAGAAGGGGCTGGTAAAGTTCAGCAACCTCGCTGCCGGGCTTTAGCTACATTTAGAGTATCATATACTTTCAAAGAGGGGGTATAAGACAATTATTTATTATCGACTCCCCTTAATTCATTGATGATATGAAGCTGAAGTCAGCTATTCGCCAGCTTCTCGAATGGAGCAAAGTTACATACTGGCGCTTCAGGCGTCAGTACTGCTGGACTATTTAAGGTGGAACGGGTAATTAGCTAGCTAGCTACCAAGACATTAGCATACTATTAGCGGTTTTTATGCTCGTTATAAAGAACAGGACTATAATACATTAAACCGACATTAAACTAAGATAATACAGTGGTTATCGTACATTTTTATCTTGACGAAATACTTACATTTGTGGGTTTCTTTGGTCGCTCGCGCAGCCATCTTGCCGGTTTTTCTTTTTTTTCTCATGAACACTCAGTTTGGAGTGTGCCTCTGAAAAACCTGCATTTTAGAGTTCCATGTAGCCCTAACACTTCGCTCTACTCCTCTATCTCAACAAGAATCGGGACACCTACTACTAGGCGTGAATGTGCAAAACAGAGGGCTAAGGGCTAAGTAGGGCAAGTGGGCCTCAAAAAGAAACACTATATGACATTTTATTAGTTTCACTCAGCTTGTGTAGCAGAGATAAGCTCAGTACAAGTACCAACTTAAAAGAACTAGTAGTATCATTTGCTTCATGATGTCCTGCGACCTGTGAGAACAACAACAACCAGGCCGATAGTAGCTACAACTGTTTAGACATTCAAATTGGATGGAATTTCAAGCAAACTAATATCATTCTTAAAATCTATGATTCTTCAAGGGTTCTTTAAAGACAGTGGTTCTATACAGAGCCATGAACAACCAAAGAGCCGCCATTTGGAAGCTTAAATGGTTCTTTGCATGGTGAAATGGTTCTTCAGATTGATATAGAATGTGTTGTTGTATATGGTTCTACATAGAACCTTTGTGGCAAGGTTCTATATAGCACCAAAACAAACCCTTTTCAAAAAGTTTCTATATAGAACCATACACAACATATTGTCTATCAATCTGAAGAGCCGTTTCACTATGCAAAGAATAATTTCAGCTTGCAAATGGTTCTATATAGAACTCATGGTTCTAAACCATTGCCTTTGCTAAAGAACCCTTAAAGAACCTTCTTTTTATAGTTTTATTTAGCTCATGTATTCGAGAAACGCCCTAAATAACATTTTAAAGGTAAACTACTGTCCCCACAGTGGTCAACAAAGCAGTGATTGAGATGCAGTAGTTGTTTTAATGGGCAGAAGATTGTTTAGTTGACATTTTATTAGCTTCACGTATCAGAGAACTGTTTGTTCTGAAGTATCTAGTGCCACCACAGCAGCGCGCGGCTCGTGCTTGAGTGAGAGTATGAAAATAGAAGAGAAGAAAAAGAGTGTGGTCGTCCACTTCCTGTGAAAAGCCATTGTGCACTGATGTTATATGAGAGAAGTAGGAAGAGAAACTGTTTGTGCTGTGTGGGGTCTGCTGAGCACTGGCCTCTACAGCAAGAGAGAGAGTTTATACCCCTCTCTCTCTTTCTCTGTCTCTCTCTCTCTCTCTTTCTGTCTTTCTGCCTTTCTCTCGCTCTCTGTGTTCCAGTCAGTCTCTGAGGGTCAGCAGTGATCACGCAGGAGGTCATGAAGCGAGGGTCAAAGAATAAGAATCAGGAGAACGTTGGCAGTTCTCTGCTCAGTCAGCAGGAGAATGAAAAAGTGGAGGAGCTCCTGGGCAGGAGGTGTGTGGTAAGTAAAGGGGTTCTCACACGGTGAAGAGTTTTTTCCGTTTCGGGGCAGGAAATCAAGAGTCAAATGTTGATCTCTCAGTCAGCTTCTAGATCTCAGCTTCTGGAACTCAACAACGGAGAGCCACACTCTTAGCAAAAAGGGCTCTATATAGTACCAAAGAAAGGGTTTATGACTGGTAGTGGAACCCATTTAGTGCCATATGGAGTCACTTTTTGAAAGGTTCTTTAAAGAACCATGTAGTTTTTGAGATATTTAGCCATGCAAAGAACCATTTATGCATTCAGACTGTTAAAGTTTTTTAAGATTTTGTACATAGCTGTTGTCCAACCCTTGAAGGATCATGTTTTTAAGGGTGCACAGCAGGTTTCCACTGCTGAATTCAGTGTGTGTTGCTTGCCTCAAAGGGTTCCTTTGCAAAGGTTAAAGAACCTCTACATAAAAAAAAGTTTGAAGAACCTTCACATAATGTAAACATTCCATGAAGAACCCTTAAATGAATATACACATGTGCCAAAAAAGTTCTTTGAGTGATGCCATTGAAGAGCCATTATTGGTTCACTGAGTCGTTACTGGTTTGCAGGACCTCTACATAGTGTACATGTTCCAGGAAGAACCTTTAAATTGACATATACAAGAGCCAAAAAAAGATCCTTTGCACAATGCCATAGAAGAACCACTTTTGGTTCCCTAAAGAACCATAATTTTAAAAAGAGATTTGTGAACGTGAGAAGCCTTTAGAATATTTAAAGAACCACATAATGTTAAGATTATTTACCATTTTATGGGTTCTTCCTAGCCCCTTTACACTGCAGGGGTTCTTTGAAACTTTTAAAGCTTCTTCACACTCATTTACAGATCCATTGAAGGATTCTTTAGTGAACCTCTTCGCTCCAAGAACCATTTTTGGCACGTGCACATATCAGTTGACGGGTTCTTACCTACACTAGAACATTTACATTATGTGGAGGTGCTTGAAACTGTACCCAGGTTCTTCACACTAACACATCTCATTTACAAAACTGGATCTTTGAAGAACCGTCCAAAGAAAGGTTCTGTAGGGAACCAAAAGCTGTTCTTTGTTGGTATCACTCCAGAGGACCCTTTTGGCGCCTTTATTGTCAAAGTTGTAGGTGAACACTGTTATGTGAATCTGACTTAATTATGCCAGATGTTCCTTTCAATCAAATAGAGTCAGCATATACTGGATATACTCTTGGAGAACCACCGCTCACTAAAGGACCTTTCAGTGGATGGTTCTTCAAAGAGCCATATGTAAATGTAAAGTGCAAGTATGAAGAACCTTTCTAAAATGTAAAGAGCCTTAGTTCCACATCAATTAAACCCTCTCCTAGAACCATACGTCCAAGCCAAGAAGCGTCTAGGAACCTTTATTTTTAAGAGTGTATGTCATCTCAACATGTTAACACATTTGCATATTTCAGCTGTCTTGGGTCATTTTATGTGCACCTATAAGCACATGCGGCTCTTCATGTGTAATATATACTGTATACTGTATACAGTCATATGCAAAAGTTTGGGCAAATGATATGTTTTGTTAAAATGAAAATGAGAGCACATCCTCTACGGTGTGTGCACCTTTGCACGTTTTATTGCACAATTACTGTTTATCTGCTGTGTTTAACATACTGGGAAAACAGTTCAACATAAACTGCGGCCTGTGCAAAAGTTAATGCACATTTTGTATTTTATGTTTTTTTTTTTTTCAAAATGTTAAACTCAGCAAATAGATACAGATTGTTCACTAACATTTGCAGGTTAATGCTGTAATTAAGTATGTTTTCTGCAGAGGATGTGTTAACTTATTTTCACTTAGAAAACCAACAAAACGTGATTTGACCATGTGTGTTCAAACTTTTGCATGCAACTGTGCATCGAACGTTCTTTAGAAGAGATTTATTTGAATTGGAGTGATGTTCTGTTGAATAGGGTCAACAGTTCAGCTCAAGGCTTCTGAATTACATGTTGCATCTTTTAGGTTTTTCTGACTGCACCACTGCTGATAAAAGCAACAGAATCCTAGAAAAGAGAAGAAAATCACACAGCCATCATGATGAATGTGCTTAATCAGACTCTGATGTAATCATGACATCAAAATACTGCTGACAACCAAAAAGTTGGTAAATGAACTACGGACAATGTGCTTTCATAGTTTTTTTTCATAGTGCTTGTAAATTGTCGCATCATGGTAGTTCAGGGTGTTTTTACAATACACAGTGTGTCACAATATTTATGTTTCCTGTCATATGATAAATTAGAACAAAGTAGAGCCACATTTTAAAAATAATATGGATCCAATTATGCACTGTGCTGCACTATATCCAATTAAATAGGACTAAAAATGCACCCTTTAAATCATACCTGCAGTTTTTGGAGTACTTATGACATCCATGATATACTTAGAAAAGCTTAATGTGACATACTGTGGTATAATTGATCATGATAATTATAAATATTGTCATATTGCCCGGATGTATTGTAAATATACACTCAGAGAGAAAAGCACTTCTAACCCACATGCTGTTCACAATCATTTCTTTACTTGAAAGTACAATTAGTTAGTGGGTTTTTTATTTACTATAGAAGACGAACTTAACCCCCCCTCAACAAGGGGGCCAAAGTTTTAGACTAACTCAGCCAGTTTGCATTGTAGTCCATGTAGTTACACAATTATAATCCTTTGTATGTAGTAAACCTGGGATTATAAGGGCTCAATCTATGCAGCTTTGTCACACTTTCTCATCAAGTAATTCACTTCACTTCATGTTCACTTCATGTTTTTGAAAATGACCTCTAGAAGTATAAGGAATTCCCCATTATTCAAAAAATGTATTCGCCGAAAATGAAAATTACTGTGCTGAGCCCTTCTCTTCACGCTAGGTCACGTGTGGGGGAAACACTGAAGCATCTGGTAATTTCTGAGAAAAACCTCTATCAGCAGGTGGATAGTACTGAAATGAAAAGTCCAACATGATTCTATCAAACATTAAAGAAGCATCAGTTGTTTGTGGATGTTTTTGATCTAGTCGATCCGTCCTGGGATGTCAGTGAATATTGACAGTAAGGCGTATTGCTGATTTGGCACACTCGATCTGAAATATGCTGTTTTTGATTTAGTCAAAGTTGCCCAAACCAGAAGGCACATTTTGTAATTATAATTAATTATATTATTTAATTTAATTATAAATGTCTATCTGCTGCCTGTTTAAAGCAACTCCGCAAGTCATTTTAAGAGCATTTAAATGTGATCATTTTGAACTCATTAAAACAAAAAGCCTCATCAATATTAAAGGCTGATCTCATCAAGTGTGTTTATTAGTGTAAGAAAAGGGAAAAAAAGAGTCACAAGGTTAAGTCACAAGACGTAATGGGCACCGAATTCGAGAGCACCAGGTGTGATTGAGCAGCATGATGTTTGATGAGGAAGCAGTGCAGGTGCTTTGCATAATGTAACATCCTGAAATCGGCGATGTGGAGAAAGTAACAGTGTAAAGTAGCTCTCTGGTGAAGGTCAAGTCTGGCTTGTAGCCAGCAGCCATTATTAGCCATCTCCTTCAGCAGTTCACCATTATGACAAGGAACTGTAGTAATGCTGCAGGACTCTCTACAGAACTTCTCTAAGAATCTTATAGTAAATTTAGATAATTACAGTCATTTCTACCAGAACACTACACAAGTTCTTTAGATACTAGGCAAGCATCAAAGATATTACACGAGTGTTATAGTTACTATGAGACAGTACTATAGAAATATTACAGTAGGTGGAAATTTTGAAGATTATAGATGTATTAATTATTTAATAGATAGATATGATGATATAATGATAGATAATTAATACATATTGATTATTATAGATGTAGAGAAATCATATAGCTTATAAGTATGCATATGTATATTGTAAGGGGAATCCATTGATGAGATTCTAAATCTGCTATAGATTAGTAAAGACTGAAAGGCAACATGAATCAGAAATGATGATACATTTTCCTTCGTGACATATTTCTGAGTGAGACATGGTACTAGGGGAGTCTCTTTTCTGTGGTCTCTGTCTGAGCTAGCCAATAGGTGGGGGTGGTGGAAGGGGAGGAGACTGGTGAGGTAAACAGAGTGTTTTCCTGTTGGGCAAAATGTACTACGTTTGATCAAAGATTAAAGGAAAATGGAAATTTTGTTTTTGACGCATGCTATGATATGATACATCGTCTCATGAACTAAAAAGGTTTAAAAAAAAGTCAATCTAGATTTCATGTTGAAATATGCAAAAGAAAATTGTCAAAAACTAAAAAACAGTCTGATTATATGTAAAACAATAAACAGTGTGGTTGAAAAATGAATTTAAGGTTTAAGGAAGATGTACAGTTAACTAAATCATTTACTATATTATTAACCATTTATATATTATATTATTTTGTATTGTATTATATTATATCACAAACTTGCTTTGACAATACTGTAAACGCTTATGCTAAGCATAGAAGTATAACTGTATGCCTTGGCCATTTTAGGCTGTCAGTTTGAAGTGAACAAATCTGCCATTTTGTGAAGATGGCGTGATGTGTGAATGTGTGAGCGTGTGTTATTTTGAGCTGGCTGCATGGCTTGATGTGTGAGATGAGGTGTGACGGCCTTGTTCCTCGTCTCTATACTTGTGAACAGTGGGCAGAGGTGAGGGGGAAGTGAACTCTAGACATTTCCTGTCATGCTTGCCTTGTCTATAGTGCACACTGAAGCTCAGTCAATTAGTGTGTTCCTCTTAAAGAGAAGGCTCTTTAACACTTGATACTTCCTTTAGGTCACAGTTCTGTAGGAACCTGTTCAGTGCAGCAAGAAATCTCATCTCGAAGTCCATTTGATCTGATTAGTTTGGTACAGTTTGAAAAATGTTTTCACAGTAGTTTTCCACAGCTGTTAGCTTTCATAATCAAGTGTTTTATTTATTATACTTGTGCGTTTCCATCAGTTGGGTTGAGACGAAAGCAGCAAACACATTTAATGAGATGCGTCATGGGTCTAACATAACTAACAAAAGCTCCACCTTCTGATTGGTGCCGAGCTGGAGCTGTTTCTGTCGTCAGCTGCGATCAGGGCCTACACAGAAAAAAACTATTAAAAAAACAATAACGTGTTCACATCTTAGATATTTACAAGGAATATGTCACAATCTATTTAAACCCAAGACATTGATTGAGATAGCAATGAGCTAAATACATACAAAGTCATCATTTATAGGGATGCCACTGTCCCAAACCCTAACCCCTGAATTTCAACTAAATCAACACTTAGCTTTTTTAAAAGATCTTTAGATTTATTTTAAAGTGAAGTTAAAAGATGATTTATAATGAGTTTAATTTTTAAATAAAAAACTTTGTTCGAAAGATGCTGTTCCATGTTTTATGTCACTACCAAAACATATAGAGTTTTAGTCCATTGACGGAGCCTTATTGTAGCCACACCCCTGCATTTTAGAGCAGGAAGTGAGACTGCATCCCTGTCCTTCATGGCCACATGGAAAGCAGTTAGAGCTCATTGTTTCGAAGTAAATGTGTCCCAAAGTCTGAGAATCAGTGTGTAACATTAAGAATTGTCTCTACAGAAACACATATTTTCTGTAAGTATTGTGTGTTAATAAAAATATTATAATTTTATGAGTGTACAACTGTTTAACGTTGTGTTTGCTGGACTATGCTAGTGTTTTTAAGCAAAAATTGTCCCTACCAAAATAGTCACTACTGAAACATTTGGTAGAGTATTGGAGGTGTTAGTGTTAAATTTGTAGTGACAAAATAGAGTGTTCAATAATTTATTAAGGAATAATGATTTTTTAACATAATTAAGGTATAGGGCCATTCAGCAAAAGAACGAGCCAGTTAAAAGTCCAAAATGTGTTTTCAACTCTGACTGATTCAACCAATATGGTAGAATGATCCACTAAGCATCGACAGCTAGCAAGATAGCGAATCAGCTAATTCTGCCACTTTAGGCTTGTATTTAAATAGTTGCATATACAATGCACAAAAAAGACAATTCAGTAGTTATTCACAATTATTTCTAAGGCTCAGGCTTAACTTCATAGTGTTTGGAAATAGACTGTAAATGATATGTTAACCAAAAAGTGAAAGCACACTTTGATACTTAATATTACTGCATAATAAATTCATATTATTTGAATATTTTCATTATGTAATATGTGTGTGTCATTGTGTTTAGTCTCTGTGCACGACGGTGGTGCAGATGTTCATGGCTCTGCCACACAGCCCCTCCAACTGGAGTCTGCAGCACACAGGAGTGATCTGCTTCGTCAAGGATAATCCACAGCGCTCGTATTTCATCCGCCTCTACGACATCAAGGTACTGCAGACTGAGCTTCCTGCTGCTTCACTTTGCTGCATTTAAAAGGATTTAGGTTTTTAGGTTGGTAGGTTATTTATTTTTATGTGTAATGCTCCATTCTAGAGAAACGTGAGAATTGTGCACAGGGGTGGTGATGGGAACTAGATGTCCAAAGCCTGTAAAAGCTCCCTCACAGGAAGAAATGCTTATGAAAATGCAGCCTGATGCCTAAGACCTTTCTTTGTAATGGTTTTGAGAGGCTCTGTACGTATGAACGTACATATGTTCAAGAAAAGTTGACATGTTTTAGGTTGGTGTTCTTCAGCATTTGTTTACTGGGTTTATTTTGCTAAGGACACTTATAGAAGCTGCCCCAGAGCCACCCCAGAGTGTGCATCTCTGCTTATGTACAGCGTGGCTGTGGCCAACAACAGCTGGAAAACAAAGCATCATGACTTGTGTGAAAGATGTGTCTCTTTTAATAGTGGTGAACACAGTATTTTTAAAATACATGCATGGCAGAGAGGTACAGGGAGCTGTGAGGCAAAATAGTCACCAAAGAAAACTTTTTTCAGATTCACTATTGTTTTGCCATGATCAGTATTACATATTAAAAACTCAGAAAACACATGTAGGTTCACTGGTGGCTTTGAATAGTAAATATATTTGCGTTTTAGACATTGTGTATTCTGGTTCCTGCGACCACCAATTAACCATTTCACATCAAACCACTCAGAATGACTTTGTTGTCATCTCAACAATTGAATCATGCAGATTTGTTTAAAAACTCAATGGAATTAGTCTTTAAAACAAGACTAGCAACTGACTTCAGTTTAAACATTCAAACATGTTAAAAGTCACCATACAGTTGCAAAGCCTTCAGATTTGGTCATGATTCATAACTGCTGTTTAATCAGACACTCAAGACGTATACACTATGTATCCAATAACTAGACTCAGACTTCCCTTCTAAATTAGTGAACTCAGGGGACCCAGCACTGACACAGTGTTGGCAAGAGGTGTATAAAGCCCCCCATCATTGGACTGTGAAGTAGTGAAAGTGGAGTGATGGAGTTCCATTTAATAGCTTTGGCATGGCTTGGATTTAAGCTTGTGATCTAGAACTCATCATCCTACACCAGTGCCTGCCCTCACGAATGCTCTTGTGGCCTTCTCAGAAGAGTAGAGGCTGTTACTGCAGCAAACAGGGAACAAACTCCCTATTAATACCCTTGATTGCAGAAGAAGCACTAAACTTTTATGCATATAGTGAATATACACCCACGAATCAATAGTTTAGAATGGTTTGGAATCAGTATTTTCAATTATATAAAAGAATATTAAAAGTATGTAAACATTTTTTTTTGATGAGTCACGTTGGCAGTAGTAGATAGTAGACAGCTGCTTGAAATACTGAATAAAACATACAAAGCACTTCATAAAAGGAAATTTAGGGTACATAATATATATGCAAAAGTTTGAACACCCCCAGTAAAATTACATGTTTTGCAAATAAACAGTAATTGTGCATTAAAATGTGCAGAGGTGTGTTATCTGTAGAGGATGTGTTAACTTAGTTTTACTTAGAAAACCAACAAAACGTAATACACAGTCAATATACAGTTGTAGTATAAGCAGTAATGGCACTGTCCTGGATGACTGCTGCTCAGGAGAGATATAAGAGGACGCAGAAACGTTATCACTGGAAACACAAGGGAGAAGAGGAAACAAACAGGACGTTAGATAGAAGAAAGGAGGAGTTTCAGTCTTTCTCCGTGTGTCAGTTATTTCATAAGATTGTGTTCACTCAGTAAAGCAATGTCACACTTGACACTTCTCACAGGCTTCTATCAGCTGTAAACCTGTGTTCAGTGAGTTTAGCTGAGTCTGTGCTGACTCTGAGATCTGTGTCTCTGCCTCAGGCAAACAAGCTGGTGTGGGAACAGGAGCTCTATAATCAGCTGACCTACCACAGAGCTGATACCTTCTTCCACACCTTCCCTGCAGATGTGAGTATTCATTAGGAAAAGCATTTGTTGCATGTACACTGTGTGCTGTTTTTACAGTAATAAATCTACATTGACATTTTGCATCTTGCAGATGTGAAGTGCTCAAAATCAGTATCATTTATGAAAGTCCGTTGATGTTCACGGTCCTCAGAATTAGTATGTGTTGTTATAGGCTAAGCATGTTGGTGGTCCTCTATTCTTTTCTGAGCAATTATCATCCATAACTCCAACATGTCCCCTCTCAGGACTGCCAAGTGGGCCTGAACTTTGCAGACGAGCAAGAAGCCGAGAGCTTCTTTGTTACAGTGGATGAGAAGATCAGCCAGAGAATCAATCGCTCGGGTTAGTTACACAAACAGGCACAGATCAGAACTTGGTTCAAGCCACATACAGCAGTGTTGACACTAAATATGATGAAAACTATGAAAGATAACTGCCATAAGAAGCATAATAAGTCTGTTCACATTTAGTAAGTGCTAATAGTTTCCTATTGTTTCTCGTACTTTTTAGAAAATCGCCAGGGGAAAAGCCGCAACAGAGGTAAGGTTCTTGATAGTGAGAGTGCAGTGTGCAAGCATATGTGTGGTCATTTGTACTGGTGATTGTTTTTAAACTTGTAACCATAATTTCCTGCTGTTTTGTCTCCAGGCGACGCATTGCCCCCACTACCTCCAAATGGTAACTGAACACTTTATTTCTACAGGCCTTCCACTCATGATTACTGTTTCCTTTTAGTTTAGTGCATGACAGTGGCACAAAGCTCATATGACTGTTTTTCTCTATTTCATGCACATTGAAACAATGATTTTCTAAATGTAATAATGGTGTTTGCATGATAATGGCAATCCAACAACCACCTCACCTCTAAACCTCAGGCTCTGGGACTTGCTCTCCACTACCACTGGCAAACCTTAACATCCAGAATCAAGCCCCTCCCACCAAATCAAAAAAAGAGAAAAAGGAGAAAGAGAAAAAAAGCAAAAAGAAGGGGTCCAAACTGTCCAAGGCGTTAATTGGCGCACCTAGTGGATTCACGTGAGTGACAGATATTTGGCACTTCAGACATTATACTGCTAAGGACTTACAACAGATGACTTCTTGGACTGTAGACAACAGACAGCCAGTGTCGATGAGTGAAGACTTAATAACTTCAAATGGTGTCAGTGTCAGATGATAAATTCAGCTCCAGAGACATTTTTTCTTCCCTTACTATCTGTTATATTGTGATTTCAGTCATGTTACCCATCTTGGCATGGATGCCAACAGCATGGATCCAGACCTGATGAAGCTGCTGTCCCGTGCAGGGATCAGTGAGGCTGATCTCAGAGATTCAGAGACCTCGAAGCTCATCTACGATGTCATTGAACGCTCTGGTGGAATGGAGGCAGTGAAAAAGGAAATGAACCAACAGGGTGAGGAATGTTTCTGAGAAAGTTGGTTTTAAGAGCTATTGACCCCTTAAAATCCCAGGCTTATTACATGCTAAGGCTCTAGATTTAGTAACTACAGGGACTTCAGTGCAAACTAGCTGAGTTATTCTTAGGTTATATAAGTGTATAATAAAACTTTGGGCCCTGGCCATTTAAGGGGTTAATACATAACTGAACAAGAACACATAGTGTGATTAATGCAAATTCTTACTCTGGTGCCTGTTTTGACCTGTAGTCATCTCTATAACCTCGCTGAAGTACTGAAGAACTGTTGCAATACAGCAGTAACACCACTGAATGCACATAAAGGGGAACTCCACCAATTTTGCAAAATGAGTTAATCATTCAGTGGTATAGATGTAAACAGAATCACTGTGAGTGGTTTGGTGTGAAATGCGTCTTTCCAGAGAAATTTAGTCAGAATTGTTCACCGTTGTAGTACTAGGAACCAGACGTCATTGTGTCTGCACTACAAATATCACAATTTCATCTGCTATCCAAAATGACCAGTGAACTTAACATGTGTCTTTTAAGTTTTTATATGTCACGCTGATGATGGTAAAATAGTGCTAAATTTGAAAAAAACACATTTTCTTTGGGTACTATTTTTTCCTACAATGCTCTGCATGTATCTCTCCACCCTGCACACGTTTTGTGTTGTTTGGGTAGGCGCTGTTGCATCGCACAGTGTCAGCAAAACTCAGCTTAGTGAGTATTCACACATTAGCTGTGATAAATCACAGTTACACCATGCTGGTTATTGTTAACAGGTAATTGTTCAAAATGGTGGTAAACTCCGCTGTACCAGGATGAGAAAATAAATGGAAAAAAATAGTACAGTTTTTTTCAGCTCCTGTTTCAAGTACCAGAAATCCTGAAGTTGTGGCTGATCGTTTTGAAGCTGCACACAAATACCCAAGTCGAACAACTCCACAGTCTTAGGGTTTGTTGCGACAACTTCACCGACTTACTCAAGACCAGTGAAAAAAGGCAAAGCAAAGCGGATTTCTTCAAATGCCGGCTGCTAAAGAAAACTGCGGTTCCTTTTGTTGTATTTACCCCCACAGAAACTGGAATCAAAATAGGACACATTTGTGAGTGAAATAAATTAGTCATTGTTAGCTGTTGTTAGCTTACAACAGACTGTCTGTCTGCATCGCTGTCCTACCCTATGCACTGGTAAGCAGAGTAGCAAGTAGTTTGTTGTTGACACCACCAATTTCCATTCACCCTTGGTTGCTCTACTCTCTCTCTTCCTTTTTGGCTCTCTCTCCTTCAAGCCATCGCAACTCATTTGTGTATTCTGGTTTAAATTATATGCTCTGCTTACTTTGCCATCTTCTAAAAAAGCTAAGCAAACTATAAAAAAGAAACTGTAAACAAAAGCTGCCACTGGCGTTAGCCGTGTTGAACGGCTGTAGCTACAGGTTAGTTACTACAAAAGCACGTTAGCTTGCGCGCATTGATCTCAGTTGAGAATGCGGTTTTGAGAGGACACACGAAAGTGATCCTGGAGTAATAATTTATATTAAAAATATGTTTTAAGCCAAAACAAAACTGACAAAACTATCACAAAACAATGTCTCAGGTATCAAGCAATGTATTTATAACCATTTTGTGTAATAATTTAACTGGATGTAGCTTTTAGAGCCATTAAATGCTTCAGACGTCTGGTTCCTAGTACTATAATGGTGAACAATTCTGACTCTGTAAATTTCACACTTAACCTTTCTGAATGATTTTGTTCTGAATGCTGAATGTGAATGAATGAGTGAATGAGCGAGTTACAAAGAGTTACAATCCAGGTTCTTGCTTTGCATCTAAAAATGTCTCATTTGCGTTTCTCTTGAATGTAACTGAACATGTTTGTCCCACAGATCGTGCTCTTCCTCCAATTCCTGGGGCCCGTCAGGGTTCTCTTCCTCCACCTACCTCTGGATCTGCCTCTCTTTCCTCTCAGGCTCGCCTGGGACCCTTACCGCCTCCCCCTGGAGGTGGTCCACCCGTTGAGGGCCGACGGGCCTCATCAGCCCTCCCACCTCCACCTTCTGGAGGGCGTTCAGGGCCTCTACCACCAACACCAGGAGCACCACAAGGGGGACGTAGAGCAACTTTACCTCAAATTCCATCTTCATCATCTGCACCTTCACCCTCGTCAGCCCGGAGTGGACCTTTACCTCCAGTTCCAGGGGGTCGTAGTGGACCACTTCCCCCACCACCAGGAGGGCGGGACGGGCCTCCATCATCAGCACCTCCTCCGCGAAGCGGACCCCTACCACCTCCCCCAGGAAGGGGTAGTGGGACCCAGCCCCTGCCCCCAGGAGGACGAAGAGAGGCTTTACCACCTGGACCTCGAGGTGGACCCATGCCACCTCCACCGTCTGCTGAACCTCTTCCACCTCCACCGAGCAGGAGAACTGGATCCTTACCCCCACCTCCCCGTGATCACAGTGATTTTCTACCGCCTCCTCCACCATCTTCTGAATCTTTTCTTCCTCCTCCCCCCTCTGATTTTCTCCCACCACCAGACTTTGATGCCTTACCTCCACCTCCGGAGTCTGATTCCTGCTTTCCTCCTCCAGCCACAAACGTGGCCCCACCTCCTCCAGCTATTTCTAGACAAGGCGGTCCACCTCCTCCTCCTCCTCCACCACCTCCTCCTCCTGCTGCCCCACTGCCCAGTGCTAAACCCCCAGCCCCTGGCGGTCCACCTCCTCCCGTAGCCAGCAGTGGGGGAGGAGGTAGAGGAGCGTTACTGGACCAGATACGTGTAGGAATGAAGCTCAAAACGGTTTGTTGACTCCTTAAACTCAAAGTGTATTACATAGATTATCATTACCCAGAAACTACTATGGAATATTCAGTAACTACTTTAAAGTTTGTAAATTACATATTCATTAGAAAATGATGAGCAGGAAAAGCCTGCAGACAGGTCCTGAATATACACCTGGATTATTTTGCACCAAGAATTCAACTGAGATTGTAATGTACATGATTTGAGCATCAATAATGAATGTCCAACTTTTTTGTAAATAGGTAACTGCAAGTCCTGATCCTCCACCATCTGCAGCAGCAGATTCAGGGGAGGGAATTGTGGGTGCTCTCATGATGGTCATGCAGAAGAGAAGCAAAGTCATCCACTCTTCCGGTAAATGAGTAGTCAGTTCTTTCTTTCTTCATTGGTCAGTACTAAGTGGCTGAAATGTTAAGCTGTTGCAATCAGTTCATATTGAAAGAATTTTTCAAAGCATGCTTCTGTCTCACCTACTGATGCCATTTGTGTAAAATGAAACTGATTATGTTTTACAGATGAAGGAGATGAGTTTGACGATGACGAGGATGATGATGATGAGTGGGATTAGTTTTAGGTCAAGTGAAGGACTTTGTGGCATTAGATCATCTACACAGTGACTTGAGCATGTTGAGGAACTTGAGACACAATGATTCATTTTCAGTTGCTATGCAGCACAATAATGTGATAACATCTATTGCCTTTGTAAATAGAAACAAACAACTCACAGGGCAAACAGTCTAACTGCAGTACAAACGATTCATCCAGATTTGTTACATAGCCTACATTACTGTGCAGAAGTCAGAGACCACCCCTCATTTATTTCATTTACAGTCAAAACAGCCATTAAGTACAAGTCATTTGTACAAGATATTTCTGAGGAGATAAGATATAAGATAGTCTACTTGCATAAGAAAGGAGAAAAATCAAGTGAAATTAAATGAAATAAGTCAGAGTTTCTAAAGCTGCAATTCAAAAAAACGATTAAAGAATATACAGACAATGGGACCCCTAACAACCATGCAAGACCTGGTAGACCACCAAAACTGTCACCATCAGAAAAACAGTACTTAATGCTTTCGTCTTTTAGAGAGAGGACTCTTGATCCAGATCTAAAAATCAAACAAAGAAGTTGCTGGTGTTCTCAGAACAATGGACGGACCACCCCAGAGTCTAGACCTCAACATCACTGAATGTGTTTGGGATTAACTTGGATTGTGAGAAGCAGAAAATGCAACCAACTTCTAAGACTGAACTTCAAAATGTGGAAAAACTAAAAGAACGCTGTAATGAAGTCAAAGAGTGGACACACACTTTAGTTGCTGAAGTTTCTGTATAATTTTCTGTTAAATATGTTTTCTGCTATTTTCTTCACTCTGTAAAATGAGTGTCTTAATGGCCCCTTTGATGGGAAATGAAATAAATGAAGAGTGGTCGCCTACACTTGCACAGTACTGTGTGTTAGGTGCTAACTCTGAAACGGAATCAGTCTAACTGGTGATCAAGCTGTGACGTGATATGGGCAATTTACAATAATGTACAAAGAAGAGACTTGTTTGTTTTTATGTGATACTGTATGATATTGAGGGGTGGGCAGGGGGCTGGGAGGCAGAACAGAACACTGGCGCAAATACTCTAATTACACCAGTGAGCTCACTATACACAGCAATTCTTTTATTTTCTTTATAACATTATATTTAAGAACAAGACAACATTTAAACAACACAATGGGTTGCCAATCTATGTAAAAACAGACAAAAACAATAAAGTCATTTGTGCGGTTTTAGTCACCTCCGAAATCCAGTGTTATCATTTTGAGGGTGAATCATTAGTAGCTACACATTTCCTATGGTGATTAACATTTATCCAAAGAAAGGTCAATCACTGTCTCTACTTAATTCCTAAAACAGTGTCAGTCATTATAATTACATTTAAATAAATACTGTACTGTATATCTCCTCTGTCACTCATGCAGAAATGCCCTCCACCATTACTTTATATATCCTCTACCAATAAGCTTTGTCAGAGAAAAAAAATATACAACCTTAAAATAAATATACATTACAAAGTGTCAGATAGCTACAGTGACACACACATGAAGGCATTGTAGTGTTCTTTGCAAAAGATTTGGTGCCATTTTCTAACCAAGAAGAAGTAACTAGGATACAGGTACAACTTTAACCACTGGTTTACTAGAATCTGCACTTGACCATGTGCTCTCAGCATCCAGTCAGCAAACGGGGAATTGCACTGGCCCATAGACTGAATGGTCACACAACACACACACACACACACACACACACACACACAGTAAAGTCATGTTCTCCAGTACTGTGCTCGAATTAAATCATACTGTAAGGTGCTTAAACTTGAGTTCCACTGGTAACATAAACCAGAATTTGGAACGGCAAAATGAAGGTATTTTAAAGCCACTAAACTGGAGATCAGTAACAGTTTACACCAACTCTGCCCACATACACAACGTTACATCATGATGATGGTCATAGCATAAGCACATTTAAATATGGTCCAAAATTAATGTAACATATAAAAGGTTCAATATTAGGCTGAGGAGATACAGTCATATGCAAAAGTCTGAACACCCCGGGCCAAATTATGTTGATGTTCTAAGTGAAAATAAGTGAGCACATCCTCTACAGAGAACAAGCTTAAATACGGCATTTTATTTCAAATTTTAGTGCACTTTTTTTGTTTATTTACTGAGTTTAACATATTGGAAACAATAAACACAATATAAAATGTGCTGTAACTTTTGCACACACCAAAATGTAAAGATTTTTCTCTAGTATATTAAATTCAGCAAATAAACAGTTATTGTGCATTAAAACATGCAGAAGTGTGTTCTCTGTAGAGGATGTGTCAACCTCTTTTCACTAGAAAACAGCTAAATGTAATTTGATCATGGGTGTCCAAACTTCTGCATATGACTATTAATAATATTAGGAAGGAAGAACATAAGGGGGGAAAAAACATAATAACAAACAACAAAAACATGAATGATCAAGTAAAGGACAAAACAAATGTCGGCATTAACCCTTTACAACCTAAACCTAAAAGTGGCCACCTGGGAATATCTTTATTCAGTTTTTGACTGAAAAGTGATGATATATTACACTATCACTATGTTTTTAAAAATATTTTTCATTTATGCCAGTTACTGAATACAAATATGCAACCTATAAAAGATTAATCTGTCTAGTTTCTCTAGTTTAACATGGAATTTGAAGCATGCTGATATGTCATGTTGTAAAGCTATTAGTCTGGCAGTGACATGTTAAGGTTTTAGGTTTTAAAGGGTTAATGAATGAACAAACTACAGAAAAAGAGTCGAGTAAACACATGGAATGATCTCTACGAGCAGTAGTGCGTTAACTCCAACTTTTCGACCTCAGCCAGGTGAATAAACAAGACAAGGACAGATTGAGGGACTAAACCAGGGGTGTCCAGATCTGGTCCTGGAGGGCCTTAGTCTAGCATAGTTGGGTGATTTCCCTGCTTAAAATATACCTGTTTAGTGCTCACATCTAATACCACAGTCACTTCCAAATATATCAGGTGATATTTAAGTCTAGCAAATTGTAGGTGCTTGAGTTTGTTGGTCCTGCAGAGGCTTTCTTCTGAAAACACTCCCGAATAACTCTTGGTTATGGAGGTGGCGTTTGATTGTATTTTGGGAAAAATTCTGACCTCAAGACTTAACTAATGTCTGCAAGTCTCCATCTGCGATCCTTTAGCTACTCAAACCATCCTTCCCACCATGCATGAGGTCAATATAGACATACATCCTCTTCCTGGCAGATTCTTAACACCTCCAGTTACTTCCTGAAACAGGAAGTCATAGGTAACGATTTATCACTCATGGGGACCTTTAAAACCTAAAATCTGAATAAAAATTCACTTCAGTTAGATTTCAGTCTTTAGAATTTGTAGAGGTACCTTCACTTGTGGCACACAAAATAAATTTGAGAAAAAATATTTATTTCATGATAAAATTTGTTTTCTTCCCTTCAATTGTACTTCAAATAAGGTGGGATTTTTGTTTATATTTTACATGAAGGATCAAAAGGATAAGCAAGAAAGAATGTTTTTTACAGCTACTACGTTCACCAGGGGTGCCAATATTTGTGGAGAGCACTGTATGAGACACCAGTCTCTGTATATTGGTACAGACAATATGTCTTCTAGTGATGCAAGTGTTTCAACCAGGTGTTTGAGCAAAGAAATTACTAAACTGTGCTGGACTCTGACCATCCAGGACTGGAACCAGACATCCCTGTACTGAATAAATGGAGGAATAAAGGACTGGGCAGTTCCTGAGCTCCTCAGCCTCCGCTGGGCTCCAGGCCCTCTGTGTGTCTGCGGCTGGTGCGTTTGGTCTGCTGTTCCTCAGCCTTCCCTGCAGTGGAGAGCTCTGCCCAGTAGGACTGGCAGTACTGGTGGATCATGCGCATCTCTGCCTCCAGCGGTAGTGCTGTGTTGGCTGGAGGAGCAGTTGGAGGCTCCTGCTGATGAGGCTTCTGATGTCTCTTCATCATCTCTTCCTCCTCCTCCTCGTCCGGCACTGTGAGGGCCACGGCAATGTCCCGGTCCAGGATGCGCAGGGAGACGCGTGCCAGGGTGTGCTTAAAGTTGTTCTCGGTGGCCAGGCAGTGGTAGAGGCCAGCATCCGAGTGGGTGAGAGATTTGAGCAGTATGCCCTGAGGGGTCTTCAACACCTCCCTGTCTCGATTCAGCTGCATGCAGAGGAGAGAGTATGTAAATGGCACTTGCTGCTACTTTAGCGCAATAGCCTTATCGGCGTTCAGACTTTGATAGTGTGGCCTTTTACTATAAAATCTGCTGGCAAAGTAGTTGGAACATTTGCCTGTCAGTGTTCAGCATAGAAAAATGTTCAGCTGAACAGATTTTGGCTTTGTTAGATCATGTTCTTTACATCAAAAAAATACTGCGACAACAGCACAGAGAACCAAGTTATTAAGGGACAAGAGTCAATTAAAATGTAGAAATAGCTTCAGCATTAAAGGGATAAAGAAACTTATAAAGCAGAAACAACTTAGCAAAAGACAGTTATAAATATCATATAGTCACATGATTTGCTAATGCTTGTAAGTAAGTTTGCAGTTCCTCTTTTAAGAGACACAGAAACTGTGTGAGATCTTACCAGTTTCCTTCTTCCTTCTTTCTGAAAGAGCCACTTGACAGTAGCTTGAGGTGACCGTGGTACACACTCTAAAAACGTACTGCTTCCTTCCACGCCAAACTGCACTGTCTCCTTCAGTCTCTTCTCCACTGAAGAGTCAGACATTAGATTAATTGTGTGCATGATCCATTAAGAATGGCATGCATGCTGAATTTTAATACCATTGTCAAATACAGAACTTTGGAAAAATCAGAAAACAACACAATTTATTTAATTTCTAATCAAAATGGCCATTAAGTAAAAGTTATGCATTTGCCTCGCTTGCATAAGGAGTGGAAAAAAGTCAAAGGAAAATAAAAATGTTCAGTCAGAATCACTTCGTCAAAGAAAATATTTAGTTTTCATTTGCAGTTATATTTGGCATATATGGCTCTGTTCTGGGACCTCCCTGCAGAAAGACCCCCCAGCCTCACCCCCACCCCCAGGATACAGAACAGAGTAGCCATCACTGACAACAAAAATGGTGCTGAATACGCCAGACCCAACGTGAAGGAGGAGTCGAGGTGGAGGCAGGTTGCAAAGTGGCCCACAGAGGAGCGATGAGAATGCGCAGGCTACAGCAGATAAAATAAGCACCCTGACGAATTTAGCCAATCCTATGCATAGTAGGCAACCTTGTACTTAATGGCCATTTTGACTGGGAATTAAATAAATGATAGGTGGTCTCTGACTTATGTATAGCACTGTCATTTAAATCATTTGTTTTTATTATTTATAAACACTATTATCCATATTTCTGAACTGAAGAAGTTCTGGTGTAGGAACAGGTCCACCTTTCTAAATAATCATATTCATTTGGATGTAAAAGGCAAAGACTGATCCTAAGACTCACATCCTTTGCTAAATATGGGCTCTAATGGTAATACAGAGCTATATAATAGGTATAACATGAGGATTATCATCAAAGGCCACTAGGCACAGGGTAATCCCTGTCCTGCACTACAGAAGATTTGCAGTAACAAGAAGAGATAAGAATTCATTTTAAGTTTAAAACACTAATACATTCATGCATTCAATTTACTTGATTCAAATGTGTACATCATTTCACATAAATAAAATATATTAACAGTTTTTTTGTCTTTTACTTTACTTACTTTTGACAATAGTTCTGTTGAAGTAATAAGTTTGTTCATGTGGAAAGATTTCACACATTTGACTCAAGTACATTCAATGAATTCGTATATGCTTAAGGAGGCTGATGAAAGAGAGCCTTTTATTTAGCACTGCGGTACCTTTAGCATTAAAGCCTCTACACTGGCGTAGAGGGTCACCGTGCTTAACGTCCTGCCTCCTGCTCCTCCTAGATGGAAACAAGTTACTTGTGTTACATATACGACACACATGAGATTTAACTTCCTTAAATAGCTTTAATATAACACAGTGCAGTGCTTAACATTATGCAGTGCTTTGAAACACTGTGTGATAACCTTTACATAGGTGGAGCCATGGTAGTAGTCATTAACCATTTCTGACCTTTTAGTGGCCTGTGTGAAAGGGGCACAGCTCTCTCCATCCCAGGCGCAGTAGGGGTCTCGGGCCAGGCAGCAGTCTGAGCAGGCCTTTCCATACACACCGCAACGATGCAAAGACACTTGAGTAAGACCTGCATCTGATGATACATACAGCTGTTGCTGTAGAGGAGAGACAGCAAAGAGAGACATATTGAGTCCTGAACCGCTAATGTAACATCAAAAATCTGTGTAGATATTTTCGTCCATTGGCTACATGTTTTACCCTTTTAGCAGATATCCTCATTGTTTTAACTGGGGCAGGAGTCTGTAGAAAAAAGCAGAGAACACATTAATCGCCATTCCTTTTTCATTTCTCAGCATCAAGACTGGATAAAAGTCGTTAGGCTCTGACTTCATTACCCTGAAAACTTCCACTTCTTCTAATGTCAGCTCTTCCATGGTGGTGGGATCTTTGGGCAGGACTATTACCTTCTGGACTGTACCACGATCTGTGAAACCGGTAAAATAAGCATTTTAACGTAATAGGGGAGAATGCACAACCTAACACAAGATGAGTAGAATGTTTTATGTAGTGGAACAGGTTCCAGAAAAACATGCAACAACAGAACAACATACAACAACAGTCCCATAGCAACCACAACTGTGAATTGTGACAGCAGTCAGACAGAACTTTCTCAATATTCATCCGGAAGAATATATTATTTTAAGCACCCTTTTGGTGTGTGGAACATAGCACCTTTCTATACTTGTAAATAACTCACAGTGAGAGAAAGTTAAGCTCAAATAAAGCCTTGACATGGTAGCTGTAGCACAGTGTACAACTGAACCTCTCTAAATAAACAGCGAGAGAAATACGTATCTTCCCAGATAAATTTCAAACAGGTATATAACCTTTTTAATGCACAGATTTTCTAACTTGCAGTAAAAAATGACACAGCTTCTTTTCCTGTTGGCATCATTTTACCAGAGTTTTAGTGAATGTTACAAATAGCCCCTCCATCTGTTACAAATAACCCCACCTAACGGTTCAATTGTAACATTCGGACATCATTAAGTTTATATTTTCACTTGTAGCAGAAATTTTGAAATATTAATCTTGCTCAAATACGTTTACATAATAAGTCACAAAATGTGTTAGGGTGTGCCCCGCTCTTCTCTATTTACACATTTATGCACTTTCACTTATTGGCAGTACATGAAACTCAAGCATTTTGTATGCATTACCCATCTTCGGCAGCCTGGCTCACCTGTGCCCAGAAAAAACACCTCATATCTCCCATCCACAGCATCCACCTGGTCCACAGCAATGGTGGTGAAGCGGTAGTCCACCCCTGAGCGCACCACCAGGGGGCGCTTGTGTATAGGATACACAGGGTGGTGCATGAGGGGATGGTTACGGATGAAGTTTACAGCCTCATCAGAGAAATCCTTAGTAGAGCGTAAGCCTGGTGTAAATGTGCCTCCGGGACACTAGAGGGTGACAAAGAATCAGATAAAAGTATGTGAATCCAACTAATCTTCCTTATAAAGAACAGATCAACAGACATAATAGAGATCATAAAAATTGGTTATGCTGTAATTTTCAACAACAGAATTGATTGACTGATTCTAAGGGCCTGAGAGGATGAATAAAAAATTAGAAAATGTTACTCTTCTTGCACTTTAATCAAATAAAAGTAACTGCCAAAGCTCTCCTATGATTATCACTGATTTTCACAACAAGCTGTCCTCTAGCATGTGCAGGGATAGCTATGCAGGGCCATTGGTGGTGTAATGTTGCAGGTTAAACCTACTCTGCAATAAGGCATGGACCAATGTCAACATGTAAACACAGCATTACCTTACCCTGCTCCACTGTTTCTGTAGGTTGGGGAAAGCTGTGCTAAGCTCCTCGTATAATCTAAACTGTAGCTTTAGCATGCTCGGTAGCAGTAAAGCTGACCATAGCAAAGTTCAATACTGCGGAAAAAATGAGAAAACCGCAGTATTCAGCATTCGCTGTAGTGCTGTAGTAGGCTTCTGGTAATTTGCCTTTACATGCTATGGTATATCGTCATATATTACAGTAACTAGTTTTAGTGACTAATTTTATTCCTCTCTGGTTATGGAAGCTACAATGAAGCAGGTTAGTTAGCTAATGGGTGGTTTTTCATCTCACCATAGCGATGTCTCTGGGACATAATACTTTCTAGCTTTTCCTCACTTTTGATCCTCACATTGTTCAATAGTGTACCGATCAAACATCAGTCAACAAACTAGCCTGTAAAAACAGCCTGTTCTGAATTCACTGTTTCTGTAATGTCACATAGAACAACACATTTACATATATCTGCTTATTCAGCCTACAGCAGTTTAGCCCCGGCCTTTCACGCTGAAGTTATAAGGAGTGTTTCAGCTCAGAGCTCATTTGCATTTAGGGATAAAGAGAGGATGAAAAATGGTCATGTAACAAGAATTCCAACCGTTCTTACTAAATAAAAACACACAACCATTATAAATGGGCCTCAAGGAAAAAAAAAAAAAGTAGATAAAAATGTAGGAGTTGGACCTTTTAAAGAATGTGCGCTTGCAACTCACAGTTCCAGGTCGAGGGTAGGGAATCTTTCCTGTGTACGCTGTCCACTGGTAGTTGTGTCCATGTTTGTGGGCAAAAGGCCCATTAAAAACATTACGGATATCAGCCATAGAGTACACGCACACAGCTGATCCCTTAAACACTGACCTGATAAGAAACACACACAAAACACTTTGTATTACTAAAGGAGTATATCTGTGACATAAACTCTAACAGCAAAAGACAGAAGAGCTATCTTTACCCAGCAGTGGAGAAAACTGCATAAACCATGGGGTTACGCTCATCCTGGGTGGGCTGAATAAAGACATCTCCTGAAATGGTGGAGCAAAGCAGTGTTACAAATCCTGTTTGAAATACTCATATGATATTCTCTAGCTACAGTTAAGTTAGAAATGCGGTAATAACATGATGTATGTAATTGATATGATTATGTGAAAGTGATATGAAGTTGCTGAAGCATGTTCACTTTAAAAATGACTCACTCAGCTCATCAAAGAAAGTCTCCACACCATCATCACCCATCACGGAGCAAACCAGCCTGGCTTTCAGAAAGGTCGTCCACTTGTTCACCAGAGACTTCTGGCCTCCTTCATCATTCTGTTAACACACATACAGCACAGTCATTCACACTCTCTTTATTCTGCTTTAATAGTGGTGATATTTGCGAAGAATCAGCTTTACACTGATGTCTCAGTAACAGCAGGCTTACTTCTAGAGCAAGTGCACTATACCATGTTTTTCAATGTTACAGCAATAACAAACCAGGTTTATTGTTTTAAAATCAAAAAGCTTAAACCTATACAATGTGATGGTTAATGGTAAGTGCTTAGTTTTAGACTTAGTTTGAAGGACCTCTGAGTTCTCTCACCAGACACACTCGTCCCACTCTGGCCAACACGCTGGGGCTTGCAGTGCCTCCAGAGTCCAGACTCTTCTCCCGGAAGAAGAAGTAGAGCTTATCATCATTTTTCTCTGAGCTGTCTGGAATCTGCTTTATCTGAATGAACACAGGTTCTGAAAATGAGACAGTGGGACAGTCGGAAAAAGAAGGACAGAGGGAGAGGGAGAGAGAAAGAGAGAGAGAGGACAGTAGATAAGCACCTTTGGGTACTTGGCTGTCAAATTATACTTTACTAATGTTTTTACATTTCTAGATATTTACCATTAAGCCACCGGGAGTCATACTGCTCTGTCCTCACAGCCGGTCTGCTCCCCATGGTCCTAAAGATGGCAGGGTCTGTGCCCATGAAGTCCACATGCACTCCAGCGTACAGATTACCATCTGAGAACAGGAGGACAGAAAAAGGGTGGAATGAAAAGGGGAAATTAGCATGGGCTTTATGTAAAGTACTAGAGATCAAAGGTGAATCTCCATATCTTCTGCTGGAAGAGACTCACTGATGAGAGCCGCCACATCTTCATGGTTTGGGTCGTAGGAGCATTTGCCCTTTCCTGATTCCAGATGTCCAGGGACCAGCCTGAAGAGATAGTCCTGCACAGACAAGGGAGACAGAGGTATTTAGAAGAGCTTTTGTTTTAATGTTTTTGATCTCCTCTTACATGGTATTTTGTTGTTTGGTTTAGTTAAGGCTGTGTATATGTGTGTAGGAGGTAGGAGGTAAGGAGGAGGTATTTGTGTCTGTGTCTGTTTGTTGACTTTGTAGGTCAATCAAAAAAAAACAGGGGTGACCAGAGGTAGGTAGAGTAGCCTAAATCAATACTCAAGTAAAAGTATTGATACATGAGTAAAATAATAACACAAGTAAAAGTATATTCAAATAAAACACCTTAGTAAAAGAACAAAAGTATTAGGTCAAAAAACTACTAAAGTACTGAGTAACTTATAGAACTGCAGTGAATCTTCTTAGTGAATCCAGCACCTTTTGGCACAGGAACTGATTCTATTTTATGCCTCTATTTTTCTATTTTTTGGATTATTTTGGTCTGAACTAAAATGCTAAAATGCCAAAGCTGCCATCAATCGCAAAGCAGTACGGATGTTGTCAACAAAAAACAATGAAAATAAACACAAAAAAGGAATTAGTAACTAATTATGAACAGCAAAAAATGTAACTGAGTAAAAAACTCACTAATATACTTTAATAGAAGTAAAAGTATTATGGTTTGAAAATACTCAGCAGGGAACAAATCCATCAATATTTTACTTAAGTACACATACTTGAGTTAATGTAACACAGTTACTACCCACCTCTGGGGGTGACCCACAATGTCAGGACCAAAGAAATGATTAAATACTTAAAATCATTTTTGTTACTGAGATTGTAGTTAGGGTTAGGTTAAGGATTAGTCTTCAAAATTTCCCATCACATACAGACATTTACATTTAAAATACCAATAAAAACATTTGGATACATCTTTTTTTTTACTATTTTCCACATTTTCATAAGAATAATGAAGACATCAAAACTATAACAGTTCATATGGAATGACTCCAGTCAGTAGTATTGGCTTTCTACCAAACAAGGCTATTCAGACCCCGCCCTCTCTTTTCACAACACAACTGATTGGCTGAAATGTGTGAACAAGGACAGACATTCCACTAATTAACTTTTAACAAGAAACATATAATAATTAGTATGAAAAAATGACTGGGGTTCCAACTCTACATTTTCCAACTCTAAATTTCATTGATGTCCTACAAGAAAAGTACTTGTTTCAAAAAATGTTTTTAAGTTTTGTGTTTTGACTTTGGAAATTCATACATAGGAAGCATATTATATTTGTCTTACAAGCAACTTTGAAAGTTTTAAGCATAAGCCTTTAGATGTCTTTAGGAAAATCAAAAATATACAATCAGATGTGTCCAAAATTTGATATAAACATAAGACCTTTTTTATGATACTCAATATGAATCATGATATTTAGATGTTTAAAACGTTGGTACCAGTATTGCAACATTTAAAAATACTATTAAAACTATGAATACAATTATTTTAATCAATTGTTTACTCCTCACTAAACATTGATCAGCGTTCTTGAAGTACTGACGATATCCTTGATATGCTCAGAAGAGTGTATTGTCACACAGCGTGATGTAATTTTTCATGATATCGATAAACATCACTGTGTTGCCCACCACTACTGTACATAAAACATATTGGTTCTGGGTGCAGGTGGTGTACCTCAGCTCTCCAGCCTCTGTTGACGAAGGTACAGATGGGTTTGTAAGCTCCAGTGCCACATGTGAACAGATGAGTTCTGTTCCAGGGTTCAATTAGGCGCACAAAGTTAGCACACTCCCCCTGGGAAACATACACATTCACACACAGTGAATTTATTTTACTGACTTACTATTGTTTAATCTATAATCAAATCTGAATTAAATTCAGTTGTGAAGCAGAGGCAGGCTCACATGTTTTCCTTTCCCAGTCATTTGACACTCCCCCTTTCTCTGTGCTGGAGCAGGCCAGTGGATCTAAGAAGGCAGAAAAAAAAACTCTTAACCTGAATACTTGTATGGACCTGCAGGCACTGCCTGCATCAAGGGTGCACAGGAGGAGCTGATCTAGGATCTTCTCCTCTCCATTCTAAATAGCATATTATTTACAGTATGAAGGCTAAAACTGATTCTAGATCATCCCACCAGCACACTAACTGTGAGTTAGGAATCCTCAAGAGTGGGTAAATATGAATAAAACAGCTGAGACTAATACATTGAGTAAAGCATGTCACTAATGTTATCACAGCCTTTAATAATGTGGATAAGCATGTTTAACCCTTTAATGTCAAGACATAAACACAACTGCCCTTGCAAAGCCAAAAATGTGTAGATTTTCTGTGATGAACTACTAATTTGAAAACTAATTCATAGGAACATACTAGACTTTTTGTTGATATTCACTCAGAGACTATACATCCAACAATAAAGGCAGTCATTGGGCTTTTTTTTTTACACAGAGAGAGAAAATACAGTGGAACACAGAAAGCTCCAATCTTAACTAGCACACATCTCAACTACTCTGTGGGTACCAAAGTCACTGACTGTATTGCTAATGGGAAGTTAAGTAAGATCTCCTTACAATAAGAGGTTCCTTGTTGACATTCTGCATGTCCAGAGAGACCAGATACTCGCGGGTGCCCAGGTAAAGCCGGCCCTGGTCCTGGTCCATGTGGAGGATTCGGTAGTCGCTGGTGTTGAAGGAGAAGCTGAATGGCCTTGCTGCCCGAGTGTCCATTAGCTCTGACGAGGCATAGAGAACAACATGTTGTCATTAAAACTAACTGTTTATGAGCTGAAGTGTTCATAGACAGTATCCCTTCTCTCTTAAGAAGTCTTATGTACAAATCTGCAAGCAATCAACAGGTGAAACATGCAGTTACAGTGAACATTAAGTGAAAACATTTATTTGTCTGAAGTTTTAAGGCTATGTATCTTACATACAGGGCACTTTGTAAGTACGGTGTTGTTTATGCTCGTAGACATCATATTTGTAGTAAAACTGACCATAAGGTTACAGTGTAAAGAGTCACTTTTAATTTACGAGTATTTATTTTAGGGCAACATAAAGGACTCATAGCTGTTTAGTCCATAGAGCACACTATTTCATTTCAACTGGACAAATGAATTTAGTACTGAGCAGCAGGTTGACAAATTACTTTTTGAGCGAGGGGAGATCCTAAAGGCGTGAGGATTTTGAGCAAATTTGGCTGCACTTCAGTTTCATAGTTATTGTTTCACTTAATATTGTACAGGGTTTAACAAAATAGTGTCCCTGTCCCATTACTTACAGACAGCACTAAATATCAAATGCTTCAGGATAAGCTGTAAATTATGCTGTATGTGTATCAGGAATACCGCAGTGATATCTAGAATTAGGTGGACTTAATCTGATTAGAAGCATCACGTGATTCATAACAATAAATATCCTGTCATATTAACATTCCTAATCAGTGCGTGAAATACTCCCTGGTTTCCCCATCTGTGTTGGCTGGCTACTCCAGAGTCGGCTGGCTGTTAGCTCACTCGCATAGTGGCGCTGATGCTAACTTCGATGGCAACAAAAAGTTTGGTTTAACAATTCTTCTTCTGGAAATGCTCTTTTCTCGTTTGGTAACGCAGTCTTCCACACATTCACTGAGATCTTACACATCTCCTCTTTTGTCTTCGGTTTGAGACATGCATAACAATTCACTCTTTCCATCAAACTCTTGTGAAATTGGGATAGTTTTCAAATAAGTTACAGCATATTGTAAAGTTTTTAAGAGGTATACCAGGCATAGGCTATTGAGGACCAACTGGGTGAACTAATCTGCTACAGAGTCACTCTGAGGTAGACTAGTGCTGCATCTCTAGTTAGTTAAGAATACCAAAGACAGAAGCTCATAGATTGAGGGTGGATTAGCTAAACAGTGATCTTTCCCTGAATCTGTATTTGAGCGCCTAGTGTAACTTCATAATAAGTTTATTTTCACAGACCACACAGAATTTTGATTTTGAGACATTCAGGGACCCCTGAGGATGCCCTGTGTTTCGCAACTTGTTCCTAATTCTGTTTTAGAAAAAGGCTACTATTAAAATGTGTTCATGAATTTGTTTCAGATTTGGACCAACAGAGGGAGCTCATATCTCATCATGAGTTCCCTTCTACATCCATACATTCACTGCACATTAGAGAGCTGTGGGGTAAATAATGCTCTGTGGACAAGCTGTTCTTGAGAAAAGCTAAAACAAGAAGCTTGTTTTTTCTGGTGCTCTAAGCTGCTACCTCTGCGAACTCTCTTCCAAGTGAGGCAGAACAGTTCTTTGAGAGTGTGAAGCAGAAACTCTGGGGAGTGGAGTGCACTTAACACAGCTCCAGCGGCTTTCTCAAGTACTGTCTCATGAAAAAACATGTTAACCCATTAACGCTCATATATGAATTGCTACAATAGCTTTGGTCTATGTTCTCTGAGCTTGCATGAAGACCAATCTGAAGAAATATCTCAAATTTATCAATCCGTGTGGCTTCATTCAAGGTATGAAAAGCTATGCAAAATTTCATTGCTTTCAACAAGTCTTCTTCAAAAACAGCCCTCAGGGCCCCCAGAGAGTCCACATTTTTGTCCCATCCTTATGCACTGAGAGTTAGGTTGGACGAAAAACATGGACCTGGGGCTCTGCTGTTTGAAGGCCATTGCTTTAAACCAATCACAAGTTCTATGGCATTTTTCCTCATCATATCTTTACATAGGACCTGGATAGGTTAATTTAGTGGTAAATGATCCTCATTCAGACGTTTTCAGTAGGTCTGACACTCAGATGCACACTATGCTCAGGACAGTAAGTTATCAAAGGATGTCTGACAACAACTTGCATTCACCCCAACAATGCAGTTTAAAATGTTTCTGTGTTTAACAGGATCATGCATCTTTTTAACTGCATGTCATGTAGACCCAAAACAAAAGATGGTACTGATGAAACACATTTATTATGAGAACTGCCTGAATCTCCTCCATTAGTTACTGTAGTTACTGATCCATCATAATAAAATCACAATAGCACTGAAGAACAGCTCACAGTGAGGTATGCTATTGACCGATGTACTCTGACAAGGATGACGTTGTAACATGCTGAATTAAAACATCAACAGAAACAGATGTCTGGCTAAGTGCAGCTTTGCTAGGTTTGAGAAGATTGCTGTTCTCATCTTACATGTGTTTATATGCTTAAAGGCTTTGGTCCCAACCCATAGACACGACTCAGGAACACTGCACTTAACTCACAGCGTCGCTCCTTTACCCTCCTATGGCACGAACACACGGCCCTCATTGTTGAACCAAAATGACTATAAAAGTGGGTGAAAGTTGATCTTTAGCCATTTCTCTGGAGCTGATGAGCTTTTAAGAGTTGAATATTTTAAGCGCTGACCCACTGCGGGGAGTGTTGCTGTAAATGTAAGAGCTGCATTGCCAGCTCTGAAGAGGTGCATTCTGGGTGATCCCACTGCTGCCCATATTTTAAAACCCTTCATCAGTCATGCTTAGCTGTGGATGAGCACTGGAACATATGCGAATCTAAGACCTGTGTGGTATAAAAGGAATCAAAGGTAAATGAATGATTCAAATAAACAGTAAACTGTACGTCAAACTCACCTGAACGAGTCAATATTTGGAACGGAATCAGTGCCAAGACAGAGTAAATGTTTGTGGCCATGAACTCATAACCTGTATATTAGTCTAAATAGCTCATTTATTCACGTCATCCAGATCTTTTATCAGCTACACAAATACACGTACATTCCCAAAAATAGACAAAGATTGACTTCCCTCCTGAGTTGCTGTCCTTTGATAGCTTCCCCTTCCTTTGCAGGTCACCACCAGGCAATCATCAATAAGGATGTTTACTTTACAGCAAGTATGCGTTTAAGCTCAGGAAATGCGTCCATGGCATGATGCCCTAAAAAGAAGTCAAGCGTGCTTGCAGGTTGCCATGGACATGCCACTAAAATAAAATCCAAGATGAGATCTGGGTGCAGACAGGACAGGGCGGGTGAGATGGAGAAGGCTCCTGAACAATCTGCTTCTCTTCTCCTTCCTCTATTGTAAACACAGGACACAACAACACTGCCAAATGTGTAGTAGTCGAAGGTGGACGCTGCTCAGAGTTCACTACAAGATTGAAACAAGATATGGATACGCTAAACAAATAGGTGCAAAGGTGAGCGGAGCTAATCCGGGTGATGTAACATCCTTCGGAACCTGTTCCTAGAAACTCTTCAGAGACAGCAAATTAAGAGAACAGCTGCTCAGGCCTGCAGAATTCAAGTCCACTACTAAAGCATCCAACAACTGCAACATTAAATTTAAACTTGAAAGAGATTTTTAACAACTGTTAGTTGGCCAAAGTAGGGCTGGACCAATAACAACAGCCAATAATTATAATGTGTTGTGTCCAATACCAATACCAATAAAAAATGATAATTAAATCAAGTTCACACTATAATACCTGTTGTGCAGTGACAGTAAGACAGGTTAAAACTCTTAAGATCAATTATTATTTTTACATAGCCATACCATAGCTAAAGCAGGCATCATTCTATAGACATTCACAGCAGTGGTCACCAACCCTGGTCCTGGAGATCCACCTTCCTAGTTCCAACCACAATCTGCCACACCTGCTCCAGGAAATTTAATTCTTCAGAAGTTCTTGAATTGCTGAATCATTAGTGTTGGTAAGGCAGAGGTAGCATTTTAGATTGGAACTAAACTCTGCAGGATAGTAGATCTCCAGGAGGAGGGTTGGTAACCAGTTATTTAACAAAGCATTAACCAGAGTGACTTAGAATGGAATTTGCATGCAAGAGCAAGAGTCTTGACTAAAGACTTGTGCAGTGGCAGGACAGGAAGACAAACAAACAACCTTCCTTGCGCAGGGCTGTAGTGTTATCCACTACACCATCCAATGCTGTTTGAAAAAGAAAATGCCCACTACTAGTGACTACGAAGCACAAATGTAGCACCAAATGTTCCATGTTGTAAGAAGGTTGTATGACTGTATGAAGCGCGAGGGATGCACCAATATGGGAATTTATGAGCTGATGCCAATATCCAATGGGACTAGATCCAACTGGTTTGGCAAAAAATGGGACTAGATCCAACTGGTTTGGCATTACAGAGCAATGTAATATTTACTTGTAGAGGGCTACAAATGCAGTAAAATTTATAAATTGCAGATATTTCAGCAACAAATCTAAGCATCTGTACAAGCAAATGCACACCGATACTGATATAATTTCAATATGTGTGTGCATCCCTAGTGTTGTCACATTGGCTCTTATCAACCTATTCCAAAATCTTGGGTATTCACATGCGTGTCAAGCTTACTGTGCTTGGTGATTGAATACTGCTGATATACTCTCTCTTTGAGCATTATAGCCAAAGACCTTCAACGATCACATTCTCTAGAGCTCCAGAAAGACCTTTCCTCCTCTTCAGGCGCCTCTGAGACAAAGGACATCCCTGTTAGAAACAATGAACAATCCATCTCTGAGAACAGCAGAACACAGAGGAGCCGAGTCGAGAATTGGTCTTTTCCGCCCCTCTATTCTTGGAGTGAGGACAGAGGGAGGAGGCCATCGATACTGCAGAGAATGTTCCCAGGGGGGAAGAATACAGCAGCCAGGGAAAGAAGAGCGAGGGGATGAAATGAGGAAGAGGCCAAAGGCCGCAGATGAATTTCAGCTGAATTACACAGGCTGGTGA